AAAGCATGTTTCCACCTCCATGTTTGACGGTGGGGATGGTGTTCTTGGGGTCATAGGCAGCATTCCTCCTCCTCCAAACACGGCGAGTTGAGTTGATGCCAAAGAGCTCCATTTTGGTCTCATCTGACCACAACACTTTCACCCAGTTGTCCTCTGAATCATTCAGATGTTCATTGGCAAACTTCAGACGGGCATGTATATGTGCTTTCTTGAGCAGGGGGACCTTGCGGGCACTGCAGGATTTCAGTCCTTCACGGCGTAGTGTGTTACCAATTGTTTTCTTGGTGACTATGGTCCCAGCTGCCTTGAGATCATTGACAAGGTCCTCCCGTGTAGTTCTGGGCTGATTCCTCACCGTTCTCATGATCATTGCAACTCCACGAGGTGAGATCTTGCATGGAGCCCCAGGCCAAAGGGAGATTGACAGTTCTTTTGGGTTTCTTCCATTTGCGAATAATCACACCAACTGTTGTCACCATCTCATCAAGCTGCTTGGCAATCTTGTCCCTGACATCCTTGGAGAGCTCTTTGGTCTTGGCCATGGTGGAGAGTTTGGAATCTGATTGATTGCTTCTGTGGACATGTGTCTTTTATACAGGTAACAAGCTGAGATTAGGAGCACTCCCTTTAAGACGGAGACAGCCCACAACTATCTAGCAGTGCAATATAGAGTGAAGACGGCAGTGACGATGGCGACGAGACGATCCAATCCCAAAACCGGCAGCCTCGAGCTCCCGCTCTCGGCCCCTTTTATGCTTCCAGCACGGCCTGGCTCCGCCCTGGCCGTGCCTCGCTTTTCGAACCCACTAGCAGGTTCCAGGGGATTTCAGATAGGGCCCTCGATGACCCATGCCCCAGTTCCTCCGCCCTGCTGACACACCCGTGTATATGCTCGCCAGCGTGTGTACTGTTTGTCATCCCCAGTTGCTGCTGCTTGTCAGCAGCCGGCGCTATTACACGACAAATACTTGAAAAAAATCTTAACATGTTGTTACTGCAATATCTGTTGATGCGGGGCTCCTTTGTGGCTGACTGGGCCCCTATGCGTCGCATTACGCTGCCACATTCCACCCCCCCTCTCCTCCCATAGTTGTGCCCCTCTTCGTGTGCCATGCTGGCCTTAATAGGTGCTCGCTAACAGCACTTGCCCCACAATCGGTTCAAGGCTATGCGGGGATACATAACGTGACAGTTGGGCAGACACTTGTAAATGATATATATAGGAGTGATTGGATAAGTTTGTGATTAAAGATAATTACAACTAATAATAAGTTCATTTCCAGAAGTGTTAGAAAGCTGAGACATTGCCTTACGTTTAATTAATTACCCTCACTAAGTCAGGTCGACGCCCGGCGCTCACTAAATAGCACAGCTGGGCCACCACCTCCTACAGCAGAGTGGCTCACTAACATCGTGGCCACAAAGTCACGGAGACACGGTGGCGGCTGCACCAATCGTCCGTGCCCAAGTCACTTGCGCGCAATCTGCCCCGCCGTCGCTTCCTCCTGCGAACGAGGACCTGTCGACATTGGTGAGGGCAAGAGAGAAGCGCGCCCAGGAGCTGCGGCCTGACGCCACGTGGAAGCCCGACCTTGCCTGGAAAAGGCGCGGGGAGGGGTTCATCTTCGGCAGTGCTGTTGCTCTGAGCAATGTTCAGTCGCTACGAATCTTAACATCGTTCATTGAAGCTCTGTCGTCCCGACAGGTCTGTACCTTTCACCTGAAGACGGCCGCTTGCGTTGTGGCCGAAACGTCGTGAGAATTTTATTGTTTTATTTTATTATTTTATTTTCATTCTACGTGGCTTTACCGAAAGAACCAAAGAAGAAAATGCTCCGTTTATTTATGTATTCAGCGAATGCTTTTACACGCGACTGTCGCACAGTTAAATGCGCCAGATATGCAAGAAAGAAAAATAAATGTTCGTCAATGGTTATATTGAGTGGACGTCAGCCCCACGTAGCCAGAGCCACGTGACAGCTTCCTCCTCTTCAAGCACATGCAAGGCAATCAGTCCGCTCGGCACGCCTTGACGCACCGCACAGCTGGAGACAATGTGGGCCATTGGTCCCCTTGCTCAGTGGCTCCTCACTACTTACAGCTCTGCTGGGTGGATCAACAAAAGGGCTTCACAGCCGATCGCTGCGGACGGTCAAAGTTCGACGATTCCTTTGCAACCTGCACCGTCATCTGTGGCAAGACCTAGAACAGGATAGGTCCTTTCCACAGCCGAGTGAACTTGAACTCAATACAAGCTTTCGCTTTCTCTCTTCTTGCTCCCCCCTCCACTGGAACAAACTTCCCCCTCCACATTAAAATGGTCACCTTCACTAAGTTTTCACTGCTCACTCACAACTTACTTATTGTTCCCTAGCTCACCTACGATCCCTTTGTAGTGGGTACAAACCTGAGAGGACTTCACTCTTCTGGAGGCAGCACGTTTAGTTAAAGCAACAGTAACACAAAGTCCCTGACACAAAGGGGTATCGGCCCCTTCCACCCGATACCCGAGGGGTGGGGTATCGCCTCCGGGCTAGCGTGTTCTAATCACTGGGACCATTCTCTATATATATAAGCCCTCCGGCTAGGGGGACCTAGGGGAAGCTAGCCTGACCCGACCCAGCCAAGGTCCTCAGGCCCCAACCACTGGCCCACTCGGTCCCGGCCCTGACAAGGACTTCGGGTCCGGGGGTTCCCAGGGTCCTATTCTGGCTGGTCTTCGGGTCTTCTGCTTGACGACAGCCGGTCCCGTTCAGGGGACCGTCTTTTATACTGGATTCTGGCTCACTCCGCCCCGAGCCACTCCTCCCTTCTGGAACCGTCTGGAAGGGCCTGGGGAGTGACGTTATCCCCCAGCCCCCTTCCTGGGGGTCTGGGGGTTTGTACCTGTGGTCCCGAGCTGCCTTAGGGTTGCTACCTGAGCCCAACGGCCTGACTCATCACCCTTAGACTCCCTCCTGCTCCCTGTTGACTCGAGGCCGTTGTTACAGGCGACAAGTAGTGGCAATCGCGTACAGCGCTCAACGATGCCGCTACACCTTTAAATCTCCCACTCATAACCGCCACCGTTACTGTTCCCTCTTCATATTATCATTCCATGGCTATCACTCATTCTGCGTTCATTCAAACCCATTCATCATTTACTGTCATCAATTTCGCTTTCATCAAATTCATGCGTTATCACAGACTCGCCCCCATTTCTTCCCTCTCATCTGTTGTATTTACCTCATCTCGACCATTACATTCACACACACGGTGTAAAGTTCTTCCCTGTGAAGCGCCTTGAATAAATTACGATAAGATAAATTTCCCTCGAAAATCCGCTTTATAAAAGCATTTATTTTCCAATTTTGAACTTAGCCCCCCCCCCCACCCACCGCAATGTCATTGATCTAAAGTGCCTTGAGCTAAGCTGTAATTACTATTCTTCATTTAATGATGTCAATAACACAATCATGATTCACTTGGAGAGCGGCGGAAAGAAACAAAATGTGACCAGTTTTACCCTTCAAATAATGTGCATGTGTATTAAGAACAATACAATTTCCCACCTCAAAACATCTCAGTGCAGTAACATACAATCAGAAGTTAATGCAGAAAATGTTATTGCTGCATTCCCCAGATTATGAGGCTCCATAAAGTAATAATACCCCGAACATGTTACCAACGCCTAGTTATACAAATCAGAAAAAAGGGGAATATCCACCAGACAGCGATTGGTGTAGGCTCTAAAACTGCAGAGGTCAAAACGCAGATGTGTTTGTGCACGTTGGAGGCGAGATTGTAATGGGTGGCACACATCAGTGGTAGCTAGGGATCACTTCTGCTGCACCAGCCAATCAGCTGCCAGGAATAAAATCCTCATGTAATATGGCTGCCGTGAAGTCCCTATGCAAGATGGCCACTATCACCGCTCCATGTGTTAAGCGGTTCTGCGGCCGAGGTCAGTTGGATATTTGTTGTTTTTAGTCAAGTAATGCGTGTTTGATTTTGCGTACATTTAAACGAGTGTATGAGAGTGCATGCACATAATTGTTCGAGTGTGTTATTTTGTGTGGGGACGTCTGCTTGTATGTGTGGTGCTGGCCACCCACCCCTTCGTGCGCCCTACCGACCTTGATAACTGCTACTCGCTCACAGCACTTGCCCCAGCAGTCTGTTATGTTTATACGGGGGATCTTTGTCTTTGTGCGAGGACGTGAGTCAGGTGGCCTCAACAACCCCTAAGCTCTCTTGTAACTTACGTGATTTCTCTTGTGTAAATCCCCTATAGAATCTGGGTCAGGGCAAGTCTCAGCCATCTTAATTTCTATAACTGCACAAGTAAAAACAAAATAACTTTGTATGTTACCAGGTAAGGCTCACTCAGCTTATACCTCGTTTTCAGAAGCGACCTGGCCATCACAAATGATAGCTCAACGAAGTGGTTTATCACGCGGAAATTTATAGCAGCCAAATACGCACGTTTCTAAATGTGGAGGGAAAAACTGGAGCACCCAGGGAAAAATCCATGCGACCACGGGTAGAGAGACATGAAAACGCCAAATATTAACGAATCAGGATCGGGATCGGGATCGAAACCACGACCTCTTGCATGGGCAGGTGAGGTAGCTACCATCTCGCCACCACGGCGCCTAGTGCTCAGGCTGCTGCACACACACCCACCAGATTAAAATAAATCTCAAAATCTAAAGAATACAGCGCCTGCTTAAATAGAACACCTCCACCACACAGGTACATTGAGGATAATACGTAAATCACGTGCAATGTGAACACCACAGCTCAAAATCACCCCTGTGCAGCCACCATCGTAGATTCAAGTGTCCCTGATCCATCGGTCGGATGGCCTGGCCAATGTAGCAAAACAGTATCTGTTATGCATTTATGGAAAATAAACTCCTTAAAAATGTTTTTTTAAACAACGGTTGTATTTAAAAGTGCACTAAAATGTAAATAACTCGATTGGACAACGGGAAGTGGACGACATCTTGATAACAAGATTTGACGACAAACAGAGGGATGAGGTTTAATAAGTCGAGTGGACAAGGGGAACTGGACGACATTTTGATTACAAGATTTTACCACGACATACAGATGAATGAAGTTTAATCACTTTTTTTTTCACAACTTCGTTTAACTCACCATCGAGAAGTACGTGAATGATGCTCCCACATCAACGCTTGGCGCCTGCTTCTTGGGCGAGGCGATTCCAGAGTTTAGGGCCCACGGCGTTTTTGACCACCACAAATATATATAATTAATACGTCGTCCATACAAAAAGTTGATTGTTTTCAAGGAGCCAATTAATTTATTATTTGATGCCGAGTTTTATACAGGCATGCATTGTCACAGGATCTGAGTACGTGTGCACAATTAGGGATAGATTGGACAACGGGAAGTGGACGAAATGTAGATTACAAGATTTGACCAGGACTCAGGAGTCAAATTAAGTAAAACAGTTGAATAAAAGTGGATTATTTTATAACTCATTCATTTAAAATATTGGTACATGTTCATGGCCACGTACGGAATGTTGAGCCAATAAAGTTACGTCCCCTCGACTTGCATTGACACGTATATTATATGATCTTGGCTCAGGGACTAACGTTCACCATCTCCCATCCATCCCTTCTCCCTCTCTGCCCATGTCTCCTCTCTCTCCCCGTGTCTCCTCCCTCTCCCCGTGTCTCCTCCACTCCTTTCTCCGTTCACCCGGAGACTTCCAGCGGCAGGCGGCTGTACCCGCCGCTGTGTCCTTGCTGCCTGCGGTGGTAAATCAAGGATCCGCCCACGAAGAGAGCGGCAAACACCAGGGCCAGCGGGGTCAGCAGCTGGGTCAGATTCACTGCGGGGTTGGGGTCAAGGGCGAGATGGTGGTGGGAGAAGAGGAGGCGGCACGGCATCACGAGATCGTCTTCACGGTTTGACTGCGCGAATCTAAGCCACTCATCACTTCCAATGTCAACTTGACATGTTAATAGATATGCAGTTTAAAGCTTTACAACTTTAGTTAATGCATCAGCTCTGTCCATTTGTCTCACTGCGCACAACTTTAGTATAGAGCTCTGTTACTATTGGGGACTTTCCATGATCAAACAGTCGCCCAAACTTGGGGAAAAACAAACCAGTGCCAAAGTGTCTCGCCTTGGCATTCCAGGCCGGTTAACTGAATCGCACTCGCTCCAGCAGTCGTTATCCAAGCCCTTTTTGTCTGATCGGGGGCTTATGGACGCCACCATTACGATAACTAATTTAATACTTCTGGGAACCCAACGCACGTTGGGATAACATGACACAATCCATGCGTACAGCTGGTAAGACGAGCTACCACCGTGCGGCAAGTCAACAGAGGTTGCCCGATGGTATGGCGGCGGCGGCGGCATCACGTTGGTTCTGTTGTATTGTTGTCTATCTCTGGGCGGGTGGTGGGTACCTCCAGGCGATCGCTTCGCCGATTCCCCGTAGACCAGCGGGCCCCGTGAGACGGTGTGAACCTCCGACTGCACCGCGTCCTCCAGCGCGCTCCTCCTGCGCCTGGCAGAGCCCCCCCCGGTGCGCAGGCAGCCCTGCTGGCAGCGGGTGTTGGGCTCGTCCACCTTGCACACGATCACGTCGCAGTGGACAAACACCTGCCGGCCGAGCGGGACGGCGGTGGGTTAACAGGGGGCGGGAAGAGACTAATACACAAACGATATGTGGGCCCAACGGTTGGTAATATACATACTATTAACTATTTTTTTTTTTTTACCAGGTAAAGCCCATTGAGCTGTGTAGCTCTTTTATCAGGAAGCGACCTGGCCATCACAAATGATAGCTCGACGAAGTGGTTTAACACGCAGAAATTTATAGCAGCCAAATACGCACGTTTCCAACTGTGGAGGGAAAAACTGGAGGACCCAGGGAAAAATCCATGCGACCACGGGTAGAGAGACATGAAACTCCATGACAGGCGAAGTAGCTACCATCTCGCCACCATGGCGCCTGGTGCTCAGGCTGCTGGTCACACACCGACCGAGTGGCTCATCGTGTCGAAATCTATCGCAGCTAAATACTGTCAACGCATGTTAATTCTAAATGTGGAGGGAGAACCGGAGAAAAATCCACAAAACCAAGGATAGAGACATGCAAACTCCAAATATACCGCAGGTGTCAGGGTCGGGATCAAACCCACGACCTCCTGTATACCAGGCGAGGTAGTTAACATCTCCTAGCCACCGTGGAGCCCAGAATGTACATACAGATATACTCTGCAGGACAGAGCTAATGCATTAACTAATGTACATACATTATGTATGTTGATTTACTGTGAATAACCCAACTAATAAAAGAGACACATTGTAATGTATATGACTATATTGACCCCCCCCCCACCCCCTCCTCTGGTCTTCACATCTGATTGGCTCACAGTGATGACAACCCAACGCGAATGCGTTTCATCAGCTGGCCTGTTATCTCGTTACAATTATGGCAGGAGAGAGAGACAGGATGGGCAGGCTACACTACGGTGCTTTTCAGAAGCCTCATTCTCCCTCTTTTTTCACGATCAGAGGAAACAAGAAGATGCTCGGTGTAGTCAGAACTTTACTTCGTTCATCATTTCGTTTATTTTTTTTCAATGCTTTGCTTTATGTAACCCCTCTCTCAGGTGGCTCATAATGGCCGTGTCTGGGCGGGCAGACCTGGTGGAAGTTGCCGATGAAGTTGAACACCGTGAAGCTGAACTGATTCTTCTTCAGGAACTTCCTGTAGCTCCTCCACGTGGGGTCGATGGGGCAACTGTTGGGAGACAGAAATCAGCAGCGTCAGTATCATCACCTTTAGCATCATCATCATTATTATCAGGATTTCATGCAGTGAGTTGCTAAGTTGTAGCCGGCCCACCCTGTCCCTCTCCTCCCATGAATCCTAATCAGGGGATAGGTCGGCTAAATAGACAATGAAATAATAAGGTTCGTAGACGAGCAGTAGATATTCTGTGTTGTGTTCTGTCCTCCTGAGAAGTGGGCGACTCCACAACCGATGAGCACCAGAGGTTTGCGAAAAGGCGATACTCTATTTCAAAGTGCTCTTCTGAGGAGCATTTGCGTGCCTGCAAAAATGACCAGACACACCGCTATACCATCCTCCATGTTACACAACACCTCGGCTCAGTCCCTCAGTACGGAGTCCACCCGAATCTAAATTGGGGGCGGGTGCCCCGTACTCTGAACGATCTACACCAGCCATGGGCAAAGTACGGCCCCTGGGCCGCATACGGCCCGTTGGGCTTTTTAATCCGACCCGCCGAACTTGTCCAAAGATTATTATTAAATTAAATTAAATTTACCTTTCTCGTGTAATGCCCCCATCTCCCCATTAGATGGCGCACTTTGACCGGGAGTGTGGTGTATAGGGCTCGAAAGGGCACATCATCTCGCAATGCATTGTGGGCCGTCACAGATCAAAGTTAACGTATCAGCACCTCAGATCTATCCCGAGAATTGCCACAACCAAAATAACTCCAGACTTGGATGCACTGGCAAAAATGGGAGATCAACAACACTGTTACAGCTGAAACTGAAAGTGATGATGTGTTGCTGCAGCGAGGTTGGAGCCAAATCGCCGACACACAGCCTGTGTGGCCGCTCTAACCTGTTAATGTAGATAATAAAGAAGTTCAAGTGAGATAATTGGTTTGGGCGCAGGCCTCAGATGTTTTCATGATGTTTCATCAGTCACGTTACGACATGTGTTTTTGTATTGTTCATGTTCGTGCAATTTGCTAAATTGCCTTGCAAATAAATGCTTTGCTACCTGTTAAAGGCCAAATCCTTTCATGTAATGATTTTTACACGTCATTTATATTAGTTCACACAAACACTCCACTCTATCCATCTGTTCCTGGCCCGGCCCCTCTGTCAAATTTTAGAACCCATTGTGGCCCGCGAGTCAAAAAATTTGCCCACCCCTGATCTACACACTGCTGGGTGTGCCCCGCACTCTGAACGATCTACACACTGCTGGGCATGGCCTGCAATGCATGTGAGGCTCGGTGTCCCTATCTCTGATCGTCCACCTGGCTCTCCACAGTAATTACAGCAACACGTCCGAGAGAGCACAATACTTTTCCGTGTGATTCATCACAGGTAAGCTCACACCGACTACATTGAACAAGGTCGGGTGCAGAGCCAAGGTCCGAGTGTCACGTGAGTGCTCCTCCACATAGATGTGTCTTCATGCTGATGATACACAATTGTACACCGCAGTGATATGGAGAGCCTCGAATATGACATTTGATCACCACGTGCAAAATCGTGTCAGCTCCTGCAATTTCCAAATCAGAGCTCTACGATACATTCAACCACTATTGAGTCGTGAAACAGCCAACACGGCGGCGTGTAGCATCGTATCGACAAGACTCGATATTGAAACTTACTATTCTACGGGACGTCTGGCAAAAACATTGCCAAGCTGCAGCGTGTACAACATTCTTTGGCACATCTCGTGACGGGTACTGAAAGGTCCGACCATGTTTGTCCAATGCTCGCTAAGCTGCATTGTCTTTTGGTTGCCGAACAATACATTTTAAAGTCGCACTCATTACACACAAAGTACTTGCCACAAATGAACCACAATACACTGCTGATTTCGTCAAGGAGAATAAATCAGCATCATGCTCGCAGCAGCTATTGACTAACCATCGAACAAAGACCGTCACTGCATTTAACGCTTTTAGATGTGCTGCTGCGGCCGTCTGAAATGCTCTTCCTGCCGATGTTAGCAAGCCATTGGAGCTATGCACTTTTAAATCTAGATTGAAAACTAATTTCTTTAGAATTGCTTTTTTTGTGTTTAGTGTGTTGTCCTTCCCCCACATCACTATCTCACCACCACCACGTCTCCCGGATGAGCATCCCGGACTCTCCAGCTTGCGGAACGCCAAGGCATGGCCCCCCTCTCACTCACCCATCCTTCAGGAGGTCGTATCGGATGGGGTCACGGGGGTCACCGCTGGGGGTCGCGTAGCAATTCTCGGCGAAGAGGGCGATGCTCAGGGTGGAGTTGACGGCGAGTTGCAGATAAATCTCCTGGCTCTCGTTGTAGTGCACCGGGAAGTCGTTCCTCCTACAGACACGGGGGTTCACTTCAGCCGGCTCTGTCTATGGTGTCACGATAAGCGCCCTGGACTTGCAGTAATAATGGGTGCACCATAGTTAATCGATGGGCAGATCTCATGTGTTTGGGTACAGTGTGCGTACTCCCACCTATTCCCAGAAGTCAAGCCAGTTGGTCAAACAAATATCCTTCAGGGGGGCTCGCGAGTGCTCCCCCTAAGTGGAGGCCGTTCTGCCAGCAGTGACACGAGCAGGAAATTGCAGGGCTGCAGCTTTACCTGTCCGGGTCAATGCTTCAGTAGAGATCATTCCGCAGCCGGCACGCCACATCCTGTACGTCTCCCTCGTCGTGACTGTGGCTACCGTTCGTCAGGTGCCACCTCTACTTGGGTCTACCAGCGGGAAGGCGTCAGAATGAGCGGTGAGGAGCCCTGCCTGTAGGCAAGCGCGAAGGCGTCCGTCGTGAAGATGTCGATGGTGAAGACGAACTCTCCGAGGCCCTCCTCTCTGATGAAGATGCTGTTCGTGTCCGGAGTGAAGCTGACGGCCAGACCCTTGCGCTTGTCATACACACATCTGAGTGAAGGGGTAGGGAAAGTAGGTGCGGTGTATGAATGTTGAATTTCTTTCGCACCGTTCGTAGCCAACCGTGTCGATCGGAGGGGTGGTCGAGGGAGGGAGGGCAGAGGGAGACAGGTTGTGAGGGTTGCCGAGATAGAATTTTTAATGGTACAATAACAATTTTCACGATATATAGCGGTTACCGCGATATTAGTTTCCCATAAGGTAATTGTTGCACATTTTTATTCTTGGCTGTATGGGCCTACCTCGATATATGTTTGGGCTGAAAGCCTGAACTTACAGTGAAAAATTGTAACGTACAGTAAAACCTTGGAATGCGAGTAACTTGGTCTGTGAGTGTTTTGCAAGACGAGCGAAAATGCTAAATAAATATTAATTTGATAAACGAGCGAGGGTCTTGCAATACGAGCAGTACGTGTAGTACGCTTTGTCTGCCGAGCGTCACGTGATCACACAACTGATATACGAGTGCTTTGATATACGAGTGCTTTGGATTACAAACACGTTTCCGGAACGAATAATGCTCGCAATCCAAGGTTTTACTGTATGTTGAAATATATTTTTCTATAAGGTCCCATTACTCAACCCAAGATGCGGTCCTAAGGAAATATTTTATCATCCAAATCCTACTAAAATAACACTTTTCAACACAACTTAGATATTTTCATCCGTTAATATGGAGAACAATAACGAGACAGGTAATTAAAAGAAAATACTGTACAGTGTACACATGCACACACTACAACCGCCATTCGCAACCCACCACAGCGCTATAAACACTATACTTGTGACAGGCAATGTGCACTTTAAGGCCACGTGAAGTGTCAAACACCTCTTGGCAGGAGGTAATGGGACAGACCCAGGTGCCATGGGTTGACTGACTGAGATGACCGGCAGATGCACCACCTGTGCCTCCTACTGTGCCAACCTGCTGTGTTTTAGCCACCCGGCGCTCCGCTCGTTGTTCTGAGCGTCGCTTCTCTGCCCTCCGTTGTTGCCGGAGGGCGCCTGCCTCCAACTGCCCAGTAGCGTCCTTCACTAGCCTCCTCAGCAAAGGCCAATCTTGACACCTCTGGTACCAGTCAGCTCCATATTCTCTCGTACCACATTTCCATCTCTTCTCTAGCGTGTGCCGCGCCTTTTTAGCCTCCTCTATCCGGCCGAACAAAAGCTGTTTGGGCATGCAGTGGCTGGATATGCGGGCAACATGACCCAGCCAACGCAGCCTTGTCTGCGGGAGGAGCTCACCGATGAAACTGTGTCCAGATCTTTCACGGATTTGTGACCTCACATTTGAAGGGATCCACATTTTGCAAGCATAGAAAAGGGAAGGCATGGCTATGCTTGATAAGACCTGAATAATCCTTTCCAGGACCTTTCCCGGCACACTGAGGAGGGAGATGCCCTTGTAGTCATTATAGTATGTGTGGGTCCCCTTCTTAAAGATGGGGACCACCAGGGCATCCTTTCAATCATTCAGAACCCGTGCAGTGGTCCAGACTGTTATTATGATGTCATTTTTGGGCAGTCTGCACACAAGCGCCACCCTCCCTCAGCAATTCGCTTGGGAAATCATCTCTGCCCGGTGCTTTGCCTAGCTTTACTCTGGATCGCCTTCTGTACTTCAGCCAGCCACTCAGAGGGGGTAACTACTTCTTCCAACATTTGAGACACAGCAGCCTCAGCGGGGTCATCCCCACTTTGCTCCATGATGTTTTCTGGGCTCAGGGATTTTTCCTCTCCCAATACCTTACAGAAATGCTCAGAAAACCTGCAAGCCTGTTCCTGGGGGTCGGAGATTGGATCACTGTTCTTAATCTTAATGATGGTGATAGGTGTGGCCCTGCAAGTTACTTTTTGATGGAATAAAAAAGTGAATTGTGATCCCTGTCTACTGAGGCAGATTCCATCTCCTTAGCAACCCATGACCACCACCCATCCTTACAGCACCGCACGGCTCTCCGAACCTCCGTGCAAAAACTACAGTAAGCCTCCTCGTTCTACGACGTATGATGCTGTAGATGGTGGGAGTAGGCCTGTCGCTTTTTCTCAGCCAGTCGTAACACCTCCTCCATCAACCAGGGTCACTAGGTAGGTTTGGACCACGTACCCAAAGCAGCTGTATGAGCCACAGTCCTAAACCTTACCCATTTCCCCTCGGCATCAGGAGGAGTGGGGGCGATGCCAACCCAGCTGCAGGCGATGATGAAATTCTCACTTATAACTTTCATCAGCTAGCTGAAACCAGGCCATTGTGGGTTTGAATGGGGTCCTAGATGGACACCCACCACCGGAGTGGAAGAATAGCAGGCGCATCTTATAGATGACAAGCCGGTGGTCAGTGGGTAGATCATCTCTTCAGGAGGTCCTGGTGTCAAGGACATGGGCCCGCATCCGCTGTTCCAACACTATATAGTCCAGCAGATGTTCTTGCTTGGACCTGGAGTGCAACCACGATGTTATGTGGATGTGCCGATGCCGGAACAGCGCGTTGGTGATTACAAGCCCATGGGCTGCATTGTTATTGAGCTGATCTGGCACGTGCCTCTCGCACTAATACAGAGCCCCCGTTGGCCACTGTGATGGCTACAAGCCCCATGAGGAGATCAGCCGATTGAATTGGCTTTCCCTCCAAGGCATTGATTGCATCCACCACAGCTATACCGTCTGAAACCACCGAGGAGGTAAAGCCCACACAGACTAATGCCCACACACAAACACAAATATCTCCCGTGTAACTTACAGAGGCAGCTTGGTCAAGTGCTGTTAGCTAGCAAATATTACACAAACAAACGCACGTACTTGATGAGAACCTGGATGTCATGGAAGTTGCGCGTGATCACTTGGCTTCTGTTGTTTGCCTTGAGCATCACCGTCTGGGAAAAAATTATTGACTTGTCCACTTCCTGAAGCATCACAGGGCAAAGGAGAAATAAGAAGGGGCATGGTGCGGGAGAGATAAAAACACATCACCATGGTTAGCCATGATTGATCCACTTTTAGATAAAGGTCTCTTCAAGGCATCGCAGTCCTCGCGATGCAACAATCCAGGTAGCAACTGCACAAGAGCTCATTTCATTCCTCCACCTCGTCGGTTGGTCCACACGTTTGTCAACCAGTCTATCTATTTGTCAATTAAAAAATAATCGTTGGTCAGTCAGTCAATTTGTGGATCCATCGACGATCGGTCAATCAATGGACGTGCTGAATGTGATCTTCCGTCACCTGGCAGACGGCGCCGCAGTCGGCGACTCCGATGTCGAAGGTGATGAAGTCTCCGTCGTCCATGAGGGAGCAGCCGGGCGGCGTGGGGTCGTTGAGCTGCGTGTCACTCGCCGTGTAGTTGAGCACCAGCACGCGCGGGATGCGCGCCGACATGCGTTCTCCCTCGCACGACAACGCCACCTCCGCTATGGGGGGAAGAGAAGGAGAAAGAGGGGACGTCAGTCGGCACACTGCGAGGAACGCAGCACATCGCTGCTTCGTCTACACGCGTCATGACCCGTTCATGGCTTGTGACATTGGCAGCATGGCTCAGCTTCTGCAGTGGAAAAAAAAAAACACCTGGCACCTCATAGGCAGCACCACGCCCTGCCTGCGTGGCTTGATTGTGCCAGCGGGAAAAAAAAAAAAAAAACACCTACACCCTGAGTGGCCCCGGCATTAGCTCAGCTTGTATGCGCCAGTCGAGAAGGGGGTTATGAGTGAAGGCGTCCCTGTGTGGGTGGCCCTGGCAAGAGAGTGGGATGGGGGGGGTGGGATAGGGCGTACCTGGGTGGCAGCCCAAGCGGCCCTCCTTGAGGAAGCACGCCTCTCCCCCGTGGCATCCGCCTGCCTCCTCCACGACCACCCCCTGGGAGCGGCACCTGTAGCGACGCGAGCAGTCGTGGCTATACCACGACTTTCCCACCTGGGAATCCGCACGACACGCACAGACGGGACACACAATTAAGTAATGACATAGTCAGGTCTCCTGCTACGTGTGGTTTTCGCAACGCGAATTGCATATAACGCGATTAATGTATTTAGGGAACGCATTATTTTAAAACGCGGACACAAGTTGGATATATAACGCAATCGAGTGAATCGAACTGCGTTGTGCGAGTAGGAATGAGGGGTGGTACGGCTGCCTCGGCGTAGCATTGCACAAGGCATTGGGATGCTGCTGGATGCTTCTAGATGCTACCCACACGCCTCAGTTTTTGTTCAGCCTGGGTATGCATCTCGCATGCTATCGCGGGCAGTGCTTTACCCTATATTATTTATTATAACGCGATTTTTCCATAAAGCGGTTTTCTTCAGGAATGCAACAACCGCATTATAGGAGAACAGAGTGTACAGCACCATGTAAATGATGTCTCAACCAATACAGTGTTCAATACAGTATATACCCTGCTAAATACACATGTAGGTTCGAGTGGGGTGATGGCTGACAACAGGCGCAAGGTACTGTAGGAGGGAAGCCTCTGGAAGGGCGAGTGGAGATGGCCAAAGACAGGTGGCTGGAAGGTCCTGTCACAGTGCTACAAGCTGCAGGGAGACCAAGGGCAGTGAGGGGTGGGCCCAAACTAATATCAAAGGGGGAGCGAGGCCCACACTCGGGGCGCTTGCTCGGGGACTGATCGGCGACTAGAGGTGGACGACATCGGGGCCAACTGTTCGAGATCTAAATGGTGGACACCATCAAGAAAGACTGTTCAAGATTAAACCACACTCTTTGGCTCTTTCAGTAAAGTCACGTAGGTAGAAAAAATTAAATTAAAATAAATCACGACGTTTCGATCGCAACACAAGCGGTCGTCCTCAGGCGAAAATAGCGGCTAATTTCGAAATTAGCGGCTAACGTCGTGACTTATTATAATTTATTTTTTTCTACCTACGTGACTTTACCGAAAGAACCAAATAGTATGGATTCCTGCAGTCACGAAAGCTTCAAATCAAGATTAATCGAGTGGAAACTACCAGGGCTGCAGATATTCATAGCCTTTGTGAAATGTGATCGTCATATTCTAACCTTGTACATACGTTCTTGGGAAATAAAGACAATTTCCCCTTGAAAATGTAACCTGCGAAGGAGCTTCTTTACACACATACTAAATACATGAAGTTAGCAATACAATTCTGTGTTCAAACTAATCACCTATGAATTTTGTCGTCGAAGGTTATTAACCTATTTGGAATTACCTTTCACAAATGTAGGTCCCTTACCTGTAAAATGTAACTATGTCACGCTGAGCAGGCCTCTAGCAGACCTCCATTATCTACGCAGCTCATGTGCAAACAAGGTAACTCAAGAGCCCGGCCAGCCATTCACTGACCGGAATCAAATATTGATTCCGACCGTGTACATATACGTATCGTTGAAACCTAGAGCAAATAAGAACCCTGTAAAAACAAGACGAACTTACACTATTGAGAGAAAGATAATAAAACTGCACGTGCACATTTCAACTTGTGCCACACCAAAGAACCTCATTTGATGAAGTTAGGTAAATGTGGTAGATTTACTATACCCAGTGATTGTATCTGTAATTTTCTAATCATTTGGTCTATATGACTGATGCAAGGCTGATAATGAGATATACACAAGTCTAATAGACATCAAAAGTACACTGGAGTAATTTACTTATCGCGGGTTTAGTTTTAGCGGAACACAGATGTGATTCAGTGTAGTATTCAGACACTAAGATCACTCAAATCAATTTCCGTGTCTAAATGTGCATGAGCGGAAAAAATGGTGGCCATCTTGAAAGATAGAACCCGTGTTGCATTTGCGTCATTGTGTTATTGCGTCATTAGACGTTGTACGGTCTGATCTGGATGACCACAGTCGCACACTGCCACTGGAGAGCTTTAAATTTTCCATTTGTGCATCAGGTATCCTTATCTGCCATGATGCATGCAGATACCTAATACACAAATGGCATCGAGTTTGCATTAACCACATATACTGCATTAACCATATATACCTATTATAAGGCATACAAATTTGATGCCTTGTAATAGTTAAAAGGTGTCTCGCTTTTGCATGTTAACACCTCGTGTATTCATGCCAAAATTGGTTTAAAAAAAATTATCATTAAAAATCTTGATACTGGAAAAAGTGTCCCAGATATAGCGTTAGTGTCATTTTACTTTCCTGCGTCCACTTGCAGTGTCCCACTGGCGATGCAGTACAATCGTATTTATGTCCCAGCAATGATTCGTGATAGGGTGAGTGTTAATCTCAGTGTAACCATGTTGGTGTTGAGCTCACGTCTCTGTAGACTCCGTCATGCATGCAGTTGGGACCGTGCTTGCGGTGAACGTAGGGCGAGCGAATGGCTCAAAGTTAATCTCAGTGTGACCGTGTTGAGCTCACGTCTCTGTAGACGCCGCCGTGCGTGCACCCACAGTCCGCCGCCGCCACGCACGTGCCGCCCTGCAGGAAGAAGCCGGCGTCGCACACGCAGCCCTCGGCACAGACGCGGCCCCGCGGGCACGCGGCCGCGGGCACACCGCACGACGGCGGGCAGGGTGGGGCGCACGCGGTGTACGCGCTGCGGGCCGGGCACGTCAGCGCTGTGCACACAAAGACACGCGCGCGCGCGAACATTAAAGGTAACCCGTGAAAGCGCTTTTTTCCACAGGTCGTTTGGGCAAGTGCTGTTAGCGAGCACCTTTGAAAGCCGGCGCGATACACGAGGTCGGTCCCACGCCCAATCGCCTTTGTCTCCCCAGTGATTAAGTTTACACACCGCACCAGGTACTCATTTGAGGCTGAGCCCACCTAGGGGTAGGCCCAGGACCGGTTCAGATAATCAGTACTGGTATCGGCCTTGAGTGGGAATCGAACTCGGGTCGCCGGGTACACAGCGGAGCACGCTAACTGCTACTCCATCGCTCCCCGCACACACAAACTAACACACAGTACGTGCTGTCATTTACGAGCAGCATTCACACACACACAGATTGTGAGCTAACGGAGATAACCCTTTCACCAAGGTTACACTCACACCAGGCTTCGCCAGTATCTGCCGCAATGGAAGAGCCGATAATGAATAATGAGTGGCCTGCAATACGAACTTTCTTGCATCGAACACGATCATGATGATCACCTCATTTGTATTCCACTCCCTCCCATGCATCTCGAGGTATCCGCTGGAGTCTAGCCAAGGGGGATCCAAGGTGCCAGCTGGCAAGTGTAAGGAGAACGCCACAACATGGGCATGAGTCTGCCAACACGGGGTGATGTTGCTCTGGTTTTTCTCCAAATTAGGTGATTTTAGAGTAATTTATCAAACGAGGAAGTTTTGACTGTGATGCCTGCATACATGATTTTTTCTTCCGAAAAACGTCACGGGATCTTTAATACCTATTAGTATTTAAACTATTTAAAACATGTTTTATTTGTATTTTACCAGGTAAGCCACACGGAGCTATATAGCACTTTTTTTTCAGAAACGACCTTGCCACTAACGATAGCTCAACGAAGTGGCTTATCATCACGTGGAAATGCATAGCAGTAGCCAAATACTCTGAACCAACACTGCCGCTGGGCTCTACCCGCGAACCTCTGCCGCAAGTGACAAATGCGCTACCGTTCGGCCACGCCAGTGCCAATTGATGACGCCGGTAATGGCTGCGGATAGTGGCAGTGGTGCCGACGTTGGTAGTGGTGATGACGACGACGCTGGTGAGACGGAAAAATGTCGCTCACTGCAGTTGGCGGCCGCCCTCCACTCCGCGAACAGCACCCCACGCGCCAGGCACGTGGCGAAGTACCCCTGCAGGTGCGAGCAGCGCAGCGCCGTGTCCGTCACGGCGGCCAGGTCAAACACGCAGTTGGCGAAGTGCGGCCGGGGCGGCACCGTTGCGAAGCACGGGGCGAAGGGCGACTGCCCGCTGCGCAGGTAGTCGCACAGAGCCTCGGCCGACGCCTTTTCCGCGTCGCCGGGCATCACCGCGTGGCTGTTGCCTGGCCCACAGCTGCAATCATTGTAGAGAGAGAAAGAAGGAGATGTTTTCGTTGGGGTTGGGGGTAGAAAGTGGGCGGATCGAAAGGGGGAGCACAGGGGTCCCAAATAAACCATCTGAGGCCTTGTGACGTTAACACTGTTATCGTAGCGTGGACTGGCGGGATAGTGCAACGGCTGCTCTTGGCAAAGGGGCTGTCCATAAATGACGTCACGCACCTGGGGGGGGGAGGGGGATCAGACATTTGTGACGATGTGTGACGAGGGGGGGGGGTTGAGAAATGTGACGTCACATTAAATGTGTAACTTTAAATAAATATAGACAATACGTCATACTTAATAAATAGACTTTTTAATGTTTTCTCCTACAACATCAGAGTGCAGCGCCACATTAAATATGCACTAAAATGGCAATAGTTTAAAGTGATTTGAAGCATGTTTTATATTTTTTTGGGGGGGGGGGCAGAGCTTTGTGACGTCATATTTGAGGAGGGGGGGGTCTGACTTTTTGTGACGTCGTGTGACGAAGGGGGGGTCAAAAAATCGTCAAAAATCGCGTGACGTCATTTATAGATGGCCCCAAAGTGAGCCACAACGCTCGCCAAATATGAGACAACCGCTTGGTTGGAATAATCTTGGCCGGGGCACAAATGACCCAGTGGCTAGAACAGGTCCAGCCTGCTCTCCCCGTGCCCATGGGGACGCGACAGCTGCGTGCGTTATGAATGCGTTTGACTTTTTTTTTTAAGTAAAATTTTCGAATTTTCAAGCACAATTTCGGATCTTAGATTGCGTGATAATGTAACGTGTAATTTGTGCCAACAAAAATCACGTCAGCCGATGCCACGCGTTACACACCACTTTTAACGGGAATAGCATTGGTGTGACGTCATGACGGTGGCGTCACTCCCCGTGACATCATGGAGGTGACATCGCTACCCTGCGATGGCCTGACATTAACGTTACATCTTTGGATTAATCTGAAACAATAGTTTTCTTTTCCGGACAATCCAAACAGTTTCAATATCCAGGCCCGATTGCCAGACTAATCCTGTAAATGGGAAAGTGTGTCCATGTGTGTGCGAGCGCATGGGCAGCGGTAGTTTAGCGGCCAGCACACTGCACTACGAACCCGACGACCCGAGTTTAATTCCCGCTCGCGGCCAACACCAGTGACGATTATCTGAACCGGTCCTGGGCCTCCTCCCCTAGGTCGACTCAGCCTCAAACGAGTACCTGGTGCGGTGTGTAGTAAACATCGCCACTGGGGGTGGTTCTGGCCACCCGCCCTCTCGCGTGCTGCGCCGGCCTTCATAGGTGCTGCTACTCGCGAACAGCACTTGCCCCCAAACAATTTGTTACACGCCAAACGGGGGGGATCTTCGTCTTTGTGCGTGCGAGCGCTCACGCTGCTTTACTGGCGGACGCCTCGCTCTGCCAGGCGTTGCCGAACGTGCTCGGCGTGCTGTGACGCTCGCCGCCGGGCCCCGTGAAGTCGTTGCCGGCGTCCCCGTCGTAATTGCCGCACAGCCCCTCGACGGCGCCCGCGAAGTCGGCCTTGAGCCCCACGTCCACGTAGGCGACGCCGTCGAACCTGACGGTGAGGCCGGCCGCCGGCGCCGACAGCACCGCCAGGCTCCCCAGCTGCACTACCGTGGCGCCGGGCAGCAGCGCCGGCAAGCTCACCGTCTCGCCGTTCAGCTGCCGGGGGGGGGGGGGGCGATGGTAATTCGTCGTTATAATCGCTTCATGTTTAACATATTCTCTGGATTTTAAGAAACTCCAGAAAGCAAGCCGCACGCCAAACTTTGGGGTAATTTTGAAAAAATTGTTCATCGTGTTTAATGATCAAGGTAATATGGTGCTCCCAAGATTCATCTTTAATGAGGCGTTTATGAACGCGCAACTTAAAAATGTCTTCCGGAAATGTATTTGAAACAGCTGGTGGTGGTCCTTCTGTCCTCTGGGGGGTAATGAATCTGTGGAAAGCTGTCTTCTGGAAGACCGTTCTGAAAAGTTGGCCCGAACAGTCAGCCACCACAGGGCTAGTGGGAGCGTGGGTAATCTGTTCATTACTCCTTCTTTCACATGGCGTTTGTACATAAAAGGCAACGGGCTACAAGTATGCATTGAACGTTGTGAGCCATTCCATGGTAATCCGGGAGGGCAAGTGCCGGTAGCTGAGTGGAAGGGTCCACTTACTCCACCAGAATACAGCGTGGTTATTTCGGGGCAGTGATCATTGACACGCCTTGCGGTATAGCACCTCACCAGAATCACAATTTGGTGGGGTCCTCGATAGTTGTATTTAAGGAGGAAATATCTTTCACGTGATGTTGTGGAGACACTGGTTGAGAGCGATCCCCACTTTTTCCGGGGCAGCAGAGAGAAACCAGGGCTGTTCCATTAATCGGCTCTTCATCAAGGTTCTCGTTTGGGATACCACTGCTTTCCCACGTCTTAGGGTGGCAGAAAAACCTCAAGGATGGCCCATGGCAACACTGCGAATGAGTGGCTTTCTTCTGGTCTATTCCCTATACCAACCACATCCACAGCTAGATTTGGTGGCATCAATGACATTCTAGATTTGAAGCTTTCGTGACTGCAAGAATTCATACTCTTTGGTTCTATTCGGTAAAGTCACGTAGGTAAAAAACAAATACAAAATAAAAGAAAAGAAACAATTAAAACACGACGTTTCGGAGGCGACGCAAGCTTCCTTCATCAGGTGGGACCAGTCACAGCCAAAATCACTCGCTGCAGTGATTTTGGCTGTGACTGGTCCCACCTGATGAAGGAAGCTTGTGTTGCCTCCGAAACGTCGTGTTTTAATTGTTTCTTTTCTTTTATTTCTAATTTGTTTTTTACCTACATGACTTTACCAAATAGAACCAAAGAGTATCAATGACATTGATATATATTTTTTACTTTGAATATGCTTCAGTTACCACGCACCTCCGATGAGCACGGTTGACAACGTACGGCGGTGCGAAAGAAGTTCAACATAAATTACCACGCATCTGCGATTCAAAACAAGCACATCCGTGTCTGGAATTTTTTGTCGACTCGGTTCGTTGAAATTTGCCTGTGTGTGTGTTTTATTTATGCAAACAAACTGCCAAGCCAAAAACCCTTACCTGGACGGCGCCCCCGGGCAAGAGTCTAACCCTGGTGTGGTTGCCGAGCTGCACCTCGACGGCGCGCGTGTACGACACAGCAGCTCGAGAGCCCATCGCCTCGTTCTCCACCAGCACGCGCCACGCGCCGTCGAGCCGCGAGCCGGCGTAACGCGCGGACGGGGCGGCCAGCGTGTACGCGCACGTGCCCATGAAGTCGAAGTAGGCCCCGTCGAACGTCACGTAGTGAGGGTCGCCGGACGCCTGGCAGTGGCCTGGAGGTCCGGGGGTGGTGGAAGGGGGCATGGGTTGAGTGGGGGAGGGTGGTTACACATGGAGGAAGAAGACCGAACCGGTAAACAGCTGCCAATTTAAACAAAAAAAAACTTAATTGTGAAAAGCCACAGGGCAACACTTTCCCCCTCCTGCCAGACTCATGCCCACGTACAGAATGGTTGTAATGATGATGTTGTTTTTATTGATTGTAACGTTGGAGATGTGAGTGAGGATGTTGACGATGATCAATGTGACGACGATGACCTCACCCTCCAGGGCGTTGCAGCCGATCTTGCCGTCGTCCGTGAGTCCGCACGTGTGGAGGGCAGGGCAGGAGAAGGCGTCGCATTCCAGTTCGCCGGCCTCACACACGCACCGACTCCTGCAGTCATCCGAGATGAACTCATCTCCCAGCTGGCGCACACACACACACACGCATGCACGCACACACATGCGTGCACACACGCTCACACACCGCACACACACAAGCAAACACACGGGCGCACACACCGCGCACACACAAGCTCACAAGCATGTACACGCCCGCGCGCGCACACACACATGCACGCGCACACGCACACGCACGCACGCAGACACGCACACATACACACACGGAATCATCAACAACATCATCATCAAGAGCAGAAGTATAATCAGCATTCGAGTCATCACCAACGTAATATCATCGTTTACATTTGCTTCATCATCCTCATCAATGTCATCGTCATCAACATTACCCATAACCACCTTGTGGGACAGCCGCGACTGTGAGTCCACCTTGGCTAGACTGCTGTAGGCTGCGTGGGAGAGGTGATGGGAGGTGCATTATCAATACAATCAAGTATGTGGTCTCCTATAACGTAGCGGTGATAGTTGCATTCTCGAAGAACACCGCGTTAATCATCAATATATAATGTAGGGAGTAAAGCACAGTACGCGATAACACGTGAGATGCGTACGCAGGCCGAACAAAGACCGAGGAGCGTGGGGTAGCATCTAGAAGCATCCAGCAGCATCCCACTGCCTTGCGTCACGATGCTACGCCGAGGCATCCGTACGACCGCTTATTCCTACTCGCCCTGTGACGTAGCTCCGTTCGCTCGATCGCGTTATATATACAATTCGCATCGGCGCTTTATAAAAGCGTGTTCCCCATAATAGATTCATCGCGTTATATCCAATTCGCGTTATGAAAACTACACGCGGCGTCACAGGAGAACGGACCGTGTTAAGGAATAGTATATGGAAGAATAAGGAGAAATCCCGAGCTGCACGTGCACCCCACGTGACACACGTTGTGTGCCTTGCGTGTTTTTTGTGCCGTGGATAATTTGCGTCGAACCTCACAGGTAGGAGGAGGGGGCCCCACAGCGGCACTCCATTTATTTATTTCCCGTAAGATAATGAATAAGGGGGCCTCACGTGGTATTATTAAACTAAACTAAAATATCGATTTCAATTTCGATTTAAAGCTTTCGTGACTGCAATGATTCATCTTCTTTGGTTCTTTCGGTAAAGTCACGTAGAATGAGAATAAAATAATAAATTGATAAAATAAAATAACACAATAATATTCTCACGACGTTTCGGCCACAACACAAGCGGCCTTCATCAGGTGAAGGGACGAGACTGTCTGGTAGGACAGCGCTGGAGTGAAAAAGCCACGTTCAGATCACGACCTTTAAGCTGTGTGAGAGGAAACAAAGCGCCTTGACAAAGGAATTAGCATATAATTTAGCATTGAAATGGCTGAGTGATTAGCTTGTGACTGGTCACAGAAATGGCTATGTTAAAAGTTAAAGCATACACATCCGCAGAGGCACCCCTTGACAAAGGAATTAAAGCTTTCGATTTAAAGCTTTAAATCCAAATTTAACCGCCTCTACGGGGAGGGATTCCACACATCCTTAAGATCATTCAACAGACTCCGGGATAAGAAGGCTCAACTAATCGAGTCTCTCACCTTTCTGAAGAGATGCCGCGACTCTAAGCTATCCGTGTTGCTAAAGTTGAGGGTAAGAATCCACCCATTTTTTCGCCATATAGCATTGTGATATATAACGACTTATTGTTGGTAGCTTAGCTGATTGGAGAATATAGAGTTTATTGATAACATTAAGGTAATTTATATTTTAGTTTTTTTATTGGTTCACTATATAGTACTGTGAATAGCTCAGATGTGTAGGCCTTGACTTCAACATAGCCATTTCTGTGACCAGTCACTAGCTAATCACTCAGTTATTTCAATGCTAAATTCGCCTAGTTATTTCAATGCTAAATTCTCCTGTTTGATTTGTACTAAGTGCCTCGGTGAATGTCTATGCTCTGACTTTAACATAGCTATTTCTGTGACCAGTCACAAGCTAATCACTCAGCTATTTCAATGCTAAATTCCATGCTAATTCCTTTGTCAAGGGGTGCCTCTGCGGATGTGTATGCTTTAACTTTTAACATAGCCATTTCTGTGACCAGTCACAAGCTAATCACTCAGCCATTTCAATGCTAAATTATATGCTAATTCCTTTGTCAAGGCGCTTTGTTTCCTCTCACACAGCTTAAAGGTCGTGATCTGAACGTGGCTTTTTCACTCCAGCGCTGTCCTACCAGACAGTCTCGTCCCTTCACCTGATGAAGGCCGCTTGTGTTGTGGCCGAAACGTCGTGAGAATATTATTGTGTTATTTTATTTTATCAATTTATTATTTTATTCTCATTCTACGTGACTTTACCGAAAGAACCAAAGAAAAATTTTATTTAAAGCTTTCGTGACTGCAGTAATTCATATTCTTAGTTTTTTCGGTAAAGTCACGTTGAAGGGAAACAACAAAATAATAAAATATATATAAAACAATAAAAAATTCTCACGACATTTCGACCATAACTCAAACGGTCGTCTTCAGGTGTGTGACCGTTTGAGTTATGGTCGAAATGTCGTGAGAATTTTTTATTGTTTTATATATATATTATTATTTTGTTGTTTCCCTTCAACGTGACTTTACCGAAAAAACTAAGAATAAGAACCAAAGAAGATAAACTAAAATATTTCACCAGGTAAAGCCCCACTGAGTTATGGAGCTGTTTTTTTCATAAGCGACCTGGCCATCGCAAATTATAGCTCGGTGAAAGTGGGCCATCATCGTATGGAAATTTATAGCAGCAGCCAAAGACTCTAAACGCGTGACGTTGATTCAAAATGTGGAGAGAGACACCGCATACTCCAAATATACAGCAGCAGGCGTCAGGGTCGGGATCAAATCCACGACCTCCTGTATACCAGGCGAGGCTGTCAACATCTCCTAGCCACCACTGCACCCTCTTTTCCCAGCCTCCAGGAACTTCTGGGGTTGTTTTTCGCACGTCAACAACAAAAACAAAGAGAAAGAACCCCCGTGTAGCCTGAACAGATAATCGTCACTGGTGTTGGCCATGCGCGGGAATCGAACTCAGGTCGTCAAGATCATAGTGCAGCGTGCTAACCGCTACGCCACTGCTCCCCACAACACACACGTACAAAGATCCCCCATATAGCCTTAACAGACTGTAGGGGCAAGGGCTGTTAGCGAGCACCTATGAAGGCCGGAACGGTACACGAGGGGGTGGGTGGCCAGCACCACGCCCGACCGCCTTTGTCTCCCCAGTGGCGATGTTTACACACCCCACCAGGTACTCATTTGAGGCTGAGTCGACCTAGGGGAGGCCCGGGACCGGTTCAGATAATCGTCACTGATGTTGGCCGTGAGCGGGAATCGAACCCGGGTCGCCAGGTTCATAGCGCAGCGCGCTAACTGCTACACAATACCCGCAATTCGCCACTAAGTGGCGGTGACGTCACCACGACGCTTGTGCCAGGCCATGTGCACTTTGAGGCCAAGTGAAGTGTTGAAGGCTCGCTGACAGGAGGTCACGGGACAGACCCAGGTGCCATTGATTGGTAGATGCACCAGCTGTACCCCCTACTGTGCCAACTTGCTGCATTGTATCTGCCCAGCACTCCGCTCGTTGTTGTGAGCATCACTCCTCTGCCCTCAGTTGTTGTCGGAGGGCGACTGCCTCCAACTGCCCAGTAGCAGAGTCCTTCACGAGCCTCCTCCATAGAGGCCAATATTGACACCGCTGGTACCGGTCATCGGCAAGTCCGCTCAGCTCCACATCCTCCTGTACCACATCACTCCATCTTTTCTCCAGCCGATGTCGTGCCCGTTTAGCCTCCTCTATGCGGCCAAACAGAAGCTGCTTGGGCTACATGACCCAGCCAATGCAGCCTTGCCTGCCGGAGGAGCTCACTGATGGGAATGTGTCAAGATATTTCAAGGATTTGTGAGCTTCTCACACAATCCAGCCTGATTAAACCCAGGATGGATCGTAGGCAGGCCATCCTGAATGTTTCTAACTGGCGCAGATGTTCCATTAGAGGGGTCCACGTTTCACAAGCATAGAGAAGGGAGAGCATGACTGCGGCCGAGAAGACCTGAAGCTTCTTGCAGAGCGATAGACCAGGTAGCTTCCACACAGCGTTACGAAGCCGCCTGACTCAGAGTGAAAACTCTGCTGTCAAACCGGAGCGGGTCGTAAGCACACTGTCCAAGGTATGGGAAACTCTCCACTCTCTCCACAACTGCTCCATCAGCAATGGTGAACTGCAGGGGTGAAGTGTTTGGTGGCATCAAATACCCAGGCAGGTGCTTAGTTTTGGTGGGGCTGATGGTAAGACCCCACCTCTTAGTGGCATGCTCCAGGTTCGGCAGCAGCGCCTTCAACTCCCCCTCTGAGTAAGCAGCAATCACCAGATCATCGGCATACATAACATGGTTGACCAAAAGGGAGCCATCCCTCGATCGCAGCCGGGCATCGATCAACATCCCATTGTATCTGTACCATCTGGTACATGTACACACCAAGGCCGTAGCCATGGAGTCAACATTGGGGGGGGGACCAAATCTTTAAAGGGGTCTGGGGGTCCCCCCCCCCCAGAAAAAAATCTACATTTAAAAACGAATTTCCTGCCTAAAAGATTAAATAAAATCACAAACACATAGGATTGACTTTTTATGTATTTTTTTTACAATAATGTCTAATAGTGTATTGTATTTACATTGCTCTGTTTTAACGTTTTAACCTTTTCTTGTTTCATTGTATGTAATGGCAGAGATTAGGGATAAACAAAGTACAACAATAACCACAATCATATAAACAGAAATCAAATGTATAGCAATATATTGGGGGGGGGACATTTTGAGCATATTTTAATATTGGGGGGGGGGGACACATCCCCCCCCCCCCAATATTATAATTACGGCCTTGGTACACACACAAACGCACACACGCAAACACACGTCTCACCTTGTAGTACTTGCCGTTGTTGATGCACCCGCACTGGTCCGCGCGCACACACCGGTCGTGCTCCAGCAGGTAGCCCGCGTCACAGACGCAGCCCTCCACGCAGCCTCCCGCGCACTGACCCTCGCCCGGACCCCGCGCGCACGTCGCGGGGCACGGGGAGGCGCAGTGCGAGTACGAGCCGCTGCCGGGGCACGCTGGGGAGGCTGGGTGGGAGGAGTGGGGTGGGGGTGAAAGTCAAGAAGGCAGCCCTGCCGGAAATTGGGCACCGCGGTGGCCGGGATGTTGAAGCTCACCTCTTCTCTATTGCCCAGAGTATTGAGTCTATTACCCATAGACGCAACACTGCCCATAGACTCAACACTGCCCATAGACTCAACACTACCCATAGACTCAACACTGCCCATAAACTCAACACTACCCATAGACTCAACACTACCCACAGACTCAACACTGCCCATAGACTCAACACTACCCATAGACTCAACACTGCCCATAGACTCAACACTGCCCATAGACTCAACACTGCCCATAGACTCAACACTGCCCATAGACTCAACACTGCCCATAGACTCAACACTACGCATAGATCCAACACTACGCATAGACTCAACACTGCCCATACACTCGAAACTGCCCACACACTCAACAATGCACAGAGACTAACACTGCCTATAGAACCAACACTGGGGAGTGACGGTTCCTAGGAGATCTTAAATACCTCACCTGGTATACAAGAGGTCGTGGGTTCGATAACAACCCTGATGCCTGTTGTATATTTGGAGTTTGCATGTCTCTCTCCCCATGGTTGCGTGGATTTTTCTCTGGGTCCTCCGGTGTTTCCGTCCACATTTAGAAATGTGTGCTTAAAGTAGTTGGCTGCAATAGATTTCCAAGTGATAAGCCACTGCGTCACTTGTGACCAGGTCACTTTTGAAAAACAGCTATGTAGCTCAGTGGGCCTTACCTGGTAAAATAAAAAAAAAGTTTTCATTTTAGTTTACTTTCTCATACCACTGCTGTTGTAAGGGCTCTAGGAAGCCTTCTATAAGTTATTTTGGCCTACTCTCATGATGCAAGATGTCTTAAAAAAGAGGCGGAAGTTCGCACACTTTCCCTACACGTGACCAGTCGATTGGCTGTGCTGTACCCGTTCATACCGCTGGCGGTGCTGATTCCAGAAACCTGCACCACAGTTTCACTTACCGAGCCAGGAGATCAAATCGAATCAGAAACCTGCACCACAGTTTCACTTACCGAGCCAGGAGATCAAATCGAATCAGAAACCTGCACCACAGTTTCACTTACCGAGCCAGGAGATCAAATTTGAATCAGAAACCTGCACCACAGTTTCACTTACTGAGCCAGGAGATCAAATCGAATCAGAAACCTGCACCACAGTTTCACTTACCGAGCCAGGAGATCAAATCGAATCCCGTCAGCGCGGTAACAAATACACCACGAAGGTACCGTGAGTGCACCTGATGCCACATAGGGGCAGCCGCCACCTGGGGGGACCCCTTGGCCCCCGACTGCTTCAGGGTGCAATGCCGGACGGTCGATACGATGCCGGGCGACTCACGGCAGAGCGTCTCGTTCCTCCAGCCGCCCGGGGCGACGCCGGCCTCGACGCAGGCAGCGTGGTATGCGGAGAGGGCGCGGCACAGCGGGGCGGTGCCGGCGGAGGCCTGCAGCGCCACGTCGAACACGCAGCCGTCCACGTAGGGCCGTGGGTCGACGGCGCCGGCGCAGGCGGCGAAGGGGCCCGTGGAGTCATTCAGCACGCCGCACCTGTCGTTACCCAACGCCGCGGTCACGTCGGTCGGGCCCGGGGCCTTGCCGTCGCCTGCGTCGTCGGAGCCGCTGTGAGAATTATTTTTTTTTTGTTGGGAACAGAAAAAACCGCGGGGGAGACAATTGGCAGGCGGCAGATCCCGGAGTGCATCCGTGACGTCGCGCGGATGCGCTGATGCCGAAACGTCGTGCTGGTGGATTACGTGCCCATGGGCTGCACGGAAGCCGAGCAGCCTCACACCGTTGTCATTGAACCAATCTCGCCCATGCTGCACATAGACTCACCACTGCCCGACTCTTGGCGTCAATAAGATGACTCCACCCCGGGGGGGAGGGGCACTTTAGCCAGCACCTCGGGCAGGAAGGACGTAGAACACATCCCATTCATTATCCTTTCCTGCATCCTTTCCACATATGTTCATCTTTAGTGGGATCATAAATAACCACACCGTTAACCCACCTTTTGTTGACAGGGTATTGAGCCCACAAAAGCCTGGGACTTGCACCTATCCCCCCCCCCCCTTCATGCTTTTGAAGAAAAGAAGAGCCACTCCCTGTTGTCTGATGTCATGAAGTAGACTGAACTCCCTTACCCCCCACCCCCCATCAGTGTTCCTCCAGAGACAACAGTGGCTGGCCACGTGGAATGACTAAATTCTGGCTGTGGAGGAGGATCCCTGTGCTCCAGTGGACGAATGTTGACTCCATTCACCATAAGGGGTGGAACATTCCTCAAGACAAAGATCCCCCGTGTAGCCTTAGCTGACCACAGGGGCAAGTGCTGTTAGCAAGCACCTATGAAGGCCGGAACGGTACACGAGGGGGTGGCTAGTACCACGCCCGACCGCCTTTGTCTCCCCAATTGCAATGTTTACACACCGCACAAGGTACTCGTTTGAGGCTGAGCCGACTATGGGACCGTCCATAAATGACGTCACGCGATTTTGTACGATTTTTTACCCCCCCCCCCGTCACACAGCGTCACAAAAAGTCAGACCCCCCTCTCAAATATGACGTCACAAAGCTCTGCCCCCTCCCACCCCAAAACCATATTTGCGTATTTAATGTGGCGCTGCACTCTGATATTGTAGGAGAAAACATTTTATTAAAATGTATATTTAATTAAGTAGAACGTGTTGTCTATGTTTATTTAAAGTTGCGTATTTTGATGTGACGTCACATTTCTCAACCCCCCCCCCCTCGTCACACATCGTCACATGTCTGACCCCCCCCCCCCCCAGGAGTGTGACGTCATTTATGGACGGCCCCTGACGGGAGGCCCAGGAACGGTTTAGATAATCGTCACTGGTGTTGGCCATGAGCGGGAATCAAACCCCGGATCGCCGGGGTTCATAGCGCAACACGCTAACCGCTGCACCACCGCTCCCCACCATTCCTCAAGGCAGGATGTCATCTCTCACACACACACACACACACTCTCTCTCACGTCTCGGGAGAGCCGACTTCCGTTATCTTCCAACTGTTGCCGAAGTCGGAGGCCGACGTGGCGCGGGTGCCGTCCCTCATCACGAAGTCGTCGCCGGGGTTCCCGTTCATGTTGGAGCAGAGGCCGCACAGCGCATTGGCGAAGGAGGTGGGGAGGCGTGCCACGGCGTGGCTGCCCCCGTCGTACAGAACCTCCAGCTCGAAGTAGCTCCACAGGCGCATGAAGTTCCCCGAGCGAATGACGGAGAACCCCGCGCTGCCGTTGGAGTAGTAGTACGGCACGTTGATCTCGACTCCGTCCAGCTGTGGCAAACAAGGTTTTGTCGGTGCCACCGCTGCTACCGTGGACATTGCGGAAGTTCTCTTTGGCACGGCAATTGCAACAATGGTAATCTCACAGGAAGAGAAGACTGGTGGGGCAAGGGCTGTTAGCGAATGGCACCTACGAAGGCCGGCATGGCACACGAGGCCAGCACCCGTACTAAGGGATGCCCAGGGCTTAGGAACATAATCGTCACTGGCAAGGCCGTAATTATAATATATATTGGGGGGGGGGGGGGACATCCCCCCCCCCCCCAATATTGAAATATGCTCAAAATGTCCCCCCAATATATTGCTATAAACAAAATAATTGCTATGCTATGTAAATAAAAACAACAATTTGCTAAACTTTGGCCACAATATCTGGACTTGTCCTCATATAAATCAATGCGTAGATTTCTGTTTATACGATTGTGGTTATGGTTGTACTTTATTAATCCCTAATCTCTGCCATTACATACAACGAAACAAGAAATGGTAAAAAAAAAAGTAGAAACAGAGCAATGTTGACTCGATGGCTACGGCCTTGGTCACTGGTGACTGTGAGCGGCAATCGAACTCGGGTCGCCGTCTTCCTAGCTCAGTGTGGCTAATCGCGACACTACCGCTCACACACACGCGCACACTCAGCGTCACCCTACTTGTAAAACGTTCCCAGGCATTGTTGCTTTCGTTACGGACGCAAAGCGGTGCCCATTATTTGCTTCATCCTTTAATTTTAATTATCGTCGCCACATTGTACGTAAGTAAAAAAAAAAGGTGCAGGCCTGTAATTGCTTGTTCGGCCACTGCTATAAAAAAAAAACGGTAAGTCACTGCAGGAAGCTCTAGAGAGCCGCTCTTGAGGGTATTTAGATCTACACTTCCATGCTAGCCAGACCTCTAAAAAAAGGTGGAAGTACCTAAGCTTTACCCCGAACCCAACCGGCGACCGCTGGATTGCAAGTCCGGTGTGCTAACCATTAAACCATGGCAGCACCCCTCCATTCCACGAATGAGAGTTTGGCGTTGCCGTGGGTGGAAGCTGAAAGGCGCGCGGACAAAACCCACCGGGGCATTCGGGGAGATGACAATAAAAACGCCGTACAGATGGGTTCAATAATCCATCGCGAGCCTGATGTCTCCTGGCCACCTCGCTCATTTTGAGCGACTTGGCCAGCGTCCCCGAGTGAGGGCGCCCCACCCCGCACGCCACTTTTACGCGCAGCTCGGAAGCTAAGCAGGTAAAAAAAAAAAATTAGCCTGGCCGGCGGTCGGGATGAGGCCCAGACTCACGTAGACCCTCCAGCCGAGGCCGAAGTGCACGCGGTGGTCGTAGAGTTCGATGAAGACGTCGCGGGTGTAGGCGATGGACCAGCTGCCAGCGATGAACTCGTTCTTCACCTGCACGCTCCAGCCGCCTCCAGAACACGGCTGCGTGTGTGCGTGCGTGTAAATACACGTACGGCGGGTTTAATTTTAGTCAGCATTATTGCTTTGGTCATTGTCGAAGGGCTACAGAGGAATCACATTATGCGTTGCTTCGCATATACGCCGCCGATGAATGAGAGAACACATTTCCTTATGAGTTTATTATTTAGATAATTTTGCTGCTATACATGTCCGAATGATGAGCCACTTTGATGAGCTATCATTTGTGGCCAGGTCGCTTTTGAAAAATAAGTTAATATCTCAATTGGCTTTGCCTTGGATGGGGATGGTTTAGTATTGTATTTGTTTGTGTGATTTGTTTACCTCTCTTGTACTGTGCACTACTATCGTGTTGTTGTTATTGTACTGTTTTATTGTTGTGACGATCTTACCCCGTGCCCCGACTGGACATCTGTGAAGAAGAGCTTTATAGCTCATCAGATTCCTCCAGGAAAATAAATATTCTGATTCTGTTTCGCATATGCGTTTTTTTACAAAAATGCGCAAACATTGTGGTTGAATCGAATAGTTGCCTGGTGTCCAGACTTAGATGAGTTTAGAAGTATATCGTTCAACTAGAACTAGTGCTCCAGAATAGAGATGCAACGTCCCAGGTTCCGCATGTGCCTAGCAGGAGCTATGGCTGAAGAGAGCTGGGAATCGTCATTCATGGGTGCGGCAAATTGCTATTGAAGCTCTCAATGAGGTGGCCAGTTGGCGAAACGTAATCAGAAAAGAGCGTGGGGGGGGGGGGGTCCGAGTACAGAGCCCCATTGTACTCCAGTGGTCAATCTAGAAACAAGATGAGTTACCCACCAGCCTGATAAGACTTCGTCTGCTGAGTGTGAGGCTGTGAATGGCGAGCTCCCTCTCCAGGCACTCAAGTAAAGGCCTGGATAGGTCACGGGGCGAGGCTCGCGCACCTGCGTGAAGACGTAGGTGTAGGTGCCCATGAAGTCGAAGGTGCGGCCGTCGAACGTGACGTAGTGTGGGTCACCCCAGGCGGTGCACTCCACTTGAGCCACCGCAACAATCATATCGAGAAAAATATCAATCATCATCAATGCGATTAACAGCGATGGTATTAACTATGACAATAACATTAACAACATCAACAACGATAACATTACAAAACGTTAAAGAAATAATGCACTTCTTTGTGCCACAATATTTACCACTAAAGTAGCGGAATATGCAGTACACTAACCATGGGATGTACATGCACAGCGCTTGTGTCAATCTCCCCACGCTGTGTTGATTGTGGGGGTTGTTTAACCGTAATCTGCCACATTGGTCAGTTCGGGTTGATAAAGCTTTGGAGCAGAGATGTAGGAGCGGGAATCGAACCCGGGTCGCCAGGTTCGTAGCGCAGCGCGCTAACCGCTACATCACCGCTCCCCACACACACGCACGCACACATGCGCACACACACACACGCACGCACACACACACGAATTTGACCGAGGTTCACACCCGTGGCTCAACGACGCCCAGCTCAGTATTTCGGTGCCGGGTGACGATGGCCCGTGAGATAATGAAGAACATTTTTTGAAGAAAAAAAAACACACGGGAACTCACGGCTCTTGCGGTGACACCCGTGCACCCCTTCATTGTCCGTGCCACAGAAGTTTAAGGTGAGGGGGCAGGAGCTTGGCTGGCACTGAATGCTGCCGGGGGAAGCGCACCTGCACTGCACAGCACACCCGGGCTGCCAGAACGCCTCGTTTAGCTGCACAAGGTGGGGTTGCACGCGGGCGGAGGGCAGTGGAGAAGGGAGTTGGGTGGGGCGAGAAGAGCGGCCTTAGGTTATGACTGTCCTTAAGCCTTACCTTAAACCGTATTTCATACACCCTAATGCTAACTCATGTCCACAAAACCTAACTCTTAACCCTATCCTAAACCTATGCCTAAACTAAATTTGAATCCCTCACCCATAACCCAAAACCATGACCTAACCCCTATAAACCCGACCCCCTAATCCCATAACCCCTAATCATGAATCTATAACCTGAACCACAACCCTAACTCATAACTCTAACCCATAATTTTCATCTTATATTTGCATAATAACAACAACCGCCATTCGCCACTAAGTGGCGGTGACGTCACCACGACGCTTGTGCCAGGCTATGGGCACGTGAAGTGTGGAAAGCCCGCTGGCAGGAGGTCCACGGGGCAGACCCAGGTGCCACGGGTCGACTGACTGAGACAACTGACTGATACACCACCTGTGCCCCCTACTGTGCCAACTTGTTGTGCTTTAGCCACCCGGCGCTCCGCCTCTTATTGTGAGTCTCGCTCCTCGGCCCTCCGTTGTTTTTGCAGGGTGACTGCCTTCAACTCAGCTCCACATTCTCCTGTACCACATTACGCCAGCTTTTCTCTAGCCCGTGCCGTGTCCATTTAGCCCTTTTGATCCGGCCGAACAAAAGCTGCTTAGACATGCAGTGGCTGGGCATGCGGTCTCCATGACCCAGCCAATGCAGTCTTGCCTGCCAGAGGAGCTCGCCGATGGGACTCTGTCCAGATCTTTCAAGGATTTGTGAGCTCCTCACACAATCCAGCCTGGTTAAACCCAGGATGGGTCGTAGGCAGGCCAGCCTAAATGTTTCTAACCGATCAAGATGTTCAATTGGGGGGGTCCACGTTTCGCAAGCATAGAGAAGGGAGAGAATGACTGTGGCTGGGAATACCTGAAGCTTTGTGCGGAGCGACAGACCAGGTAGCTTCCACAGAGCGTTACGCAACCGATGAAAAGATAATGCCGCTCGACTGATTCGGAGTGATACCTTTGCTGTTAAACCGGAGCCGGTCATGAGCACACTGCCCAGGTATGGGAAACTCTCCACTCTCTCCATAACTGCCCTATCACCAATTGGGAGTTGTGGGGGTGGAGTGTCCGATGGTACAAAATACCCAGGCAGGTGGTTAGTTTTGGTGGGGCTGATGGCAAGGCCTCACCTCTTAGTGGCAGGTTCAGCAGCAGCGCCTTCAACTCCTCCTCTGAGTGAATAGCAATTACCAGATCATCAACATACATAACATGGTTGAGCAATAGGGAGCCATCCCTTGACCGCACCCGGGCATAGATCAGCCTCCCATTGTATCTGTACCAGATGGAAATTCCTCCGGTACAGCTATTGAAGGATTCACGAACTACGTGGTCAAAATAGATGTTAAATAATGTGGGAGCCAGAGGTCATCCCTGTCGCACCCCAAGGTGTACAGGGAATGGCTCCGACTCCCTTGCCACGTAGTTTTACCCAGGCCTGCTCACCATCATGGAGGTCCTTAATGATCGTGAGCAGAGGGTCAGGGACTCCGAAAGCATGAAGAACAACCCAGAGGCCAGGCCTACTGATGGTATCATAGGCCTTGACCAGATCAATAAAGCAGAGATGTAGGTCTTGTTGGAATTCCCTACACCTCTGCTATAGCAGACGGACAGAAATTATGGCATCTGTCCAGGACCGCCCTTTCCTGAAACCGCATTGGGGCTCCGCAAGTCTCTCCTCAGCGTGCCTAGCAAGGTGATGTTGAATAATCCTTGCCAGGACCTTTCCCGGAAAACTGAGGAGTGAGATGCCCCTGTAGTTGTGACAGTCTGTGCAGTTCCCCTTCTTAAAGAGAGGGGCCACCAGGGCTTCCTACCAATCCTGCGGAACCCGTCCAGTGGTCCAGACTGTTGTTATGATTTCATGTAGGGCAGTCTGTGCACCAACGCCACCCTCCCTCTGGATCACCTCCAGTACTTCCTCAACAGATGGCACCTCAGCCAGCCACTCACAGGGGGTGACTTCTTCCAATATTTAAGGCACCGCAGCCTCGGCAGGGTCATCCCCACTTTGTCCCACATTATCCAGTCTGAGGGATGTCCTCTCCCCCAGGACCTCACAGAAATGCTCATCAAATCTGCAAACCTGTTCCTGAGGGTCGGAGAATGAATCAGCGTTCTTTCCCCTAATGATGGTAATAGGTGTGGAGCTGCAGGTTACTTTTTGTATGGAATTAGAGATCAATTTGTGATCGCGGGCCATTGAGAGAGACTCCATCTCCTCAGCAACCTGCAACCACCACCCATCCTTGCAGCGCCTCACGGCTCTCCAAACCTCCGAGCGAAGGCTGCCGTAAGCCTCCTCATTCTCCGACGTGGGATGCTGTAGCCGACGAGAGTGGGCCTGTCGCTTTTTCTCAGGCAGCTTGAACACCTCCTCTGTCAGCCAGGGTCTCTGGGGAGGTCTGGACCGCGTACCCAAAGCAGCCATTGCGGCGGCATGAGCCACAGTCCTAAACCTCACCCATTTACCCTCGACATCAGGAGTGGGGCACGATGCCAACCCCAGCCACAAGCGATGATTAAATTCTCGCTTGCAACTTTCATCAGCTAGATGAGACCATGCCACTAAGGGTTTGAATGGGGTCCTGGGTGTACACCCACCACTGGAGTGGAAGAATGGCAGGCGCATCTTACAGATGACAAGTCGATGGTCAGTGGGCAGATCAGCTCCACAGTAGGTCCTGGTGTCAAGGACATGGACCTGCATCCGCTCTTCCATCACTATGTAGTCCAGCAGATGTTCTTGCTTGGACCCAGCATGCATCCATGATGTTGTGTGGATGTGGCCACACGTGGTGGTTTTTTGTTGTTTCTGGAGGAGCCCCGAGGGTAAGGATTCACTCTCCTGGCTCCACCAAATGGGGTTTGGCCAGGAGACGTCATAGACGCCTGTCCCCCCTGGGCCCCCGGCACGAGCTTATAAAGTACATTTTTCCGTTTTGGTTTAGTGGTAAATAATTGAAGATGGGGGAGTTACTAGCCCCTTGCACCCGTCCAGAGCCCCCATTTGGCCGCTGTGGTGATCACAAACGCCATGAGGGAAAAGGCCAATCGGAATTGGCCCTCCCCCCACAGCACTGCACACGACAGCGTTGCCTTTCCGGCACCACGAGGAGGTAGGGGGTTGTTTTTGCATATAAGGGGTTAAACAGGCATGGCACAAGCGCTGGGGTGATGTCACCATCACTCAGTGGCAGATGGCAGTTGTTGTTGAGGGCAATGTTCGTGATAGTGTGTGCGCATTGGGAGGTCGTGGGAGGGGGGGGGGGCAAGGACTAACTGACCGAGTCCGTGATTGCCTAAGTGCAGGAGGGCACCACCACTCCCCTGCTAGTAGCGGCAGTCTGTGTATCGATTGAGCCTCCCAGAAACGTGGTCACTTTTTGGCAGTGAGTCTCGGAGGAGTATGGCAGTTTCGGGTGGGAGTGAAGCAGAGGTGGCACTCCCCTAGTAGCATCGACCTTCTGTGTTCCAGTTGAGCCTCCCAGACACGTGGTCTCTAATGGCATTGAGTGCGGGAGGAGTGTAGGAGTCCATGATGCGAGTGAAGCGGCGGCGGCCGCCCACTCACCTTGTAGTAGCGGCCGTCCGCGTCACGGCACCCGCACTGGGCCGGCGGCACGCAGCGATCGCCGTCCCACAGCTGCGTGCTGTCGGTGCACTCGCAGCCCTCCACGCAGGGGTCCGCGCACCCCGCCGGGGCCGCGGGATCGTAGCACGTGGCCGGACACGTGGTGACGCACGAGCTGAAGCGCGTGCCAGCACCACAGTTCGCCTCTACAAAAGAGAAGAAGATTCCACGCCCCCCCCGCCCCCCACCCGGTTAGCCTCAATGTTCTGTTGGGGCGAGTGCTGTTAGCGAGTGGCGGTGGCGCCTGACGGCACCCGAGTGGGGTTAGGTGCCCTGCCCGCCTTTGTCTCCTGAGCGGCGACGTTGTTTACGCATCGCCTACCGGGTACTAATTTGAGGCCGAGTCGGCCTCACAGTGCACCTAGCGTTGCACAAGCGCCGTGGTGACTTCAACGCCACTTTGTGGCGAATGGCGGTTGTTGCTTTATACAGTGCACGTGGGTAGCGCACTGCGCTACGAACCCGCCAATCTGAGTTCGATTCCCGTCGGCTGATGAGTACGGAGTGCGGTGTGCAGTAAACGATCGCCGCAAAGGGGGCCGGGCGTGGTAGCTGTCCACCCACCCCCTTGTGTACCGTGCAAGCCCTTATAGGCGCTGCCACTCGCAAACCGCACTTTCCCCAACAGTCTAATAATGATATATGGGGAATATTTTTATTCTCTTGTGTCTTTATAAAATATACGTGTGCATTCATACGCTTGCGTGTTTTTTTTTTAATGGGCAGAGCAGCGGTGTAGCAGCTAGTGCATCGCAATGCAAAGCCCAGGGGACAGTTAATTTTGCGCAGCTCAACGTTCAAAGGTCGGCACCATGTTCCAAATGCCAGTCTACGATTAGACAGACGACACTGGAATTGCAATGCCCCCCCTCCCTACTCGGCGCTACGTTGGTGAGATGTTATCTCCCTTGTTTGATATGCAGGAGGTCGTGGGTTCGATCCCGACCCTGATGCCTGCTGCTGTATATTTGGAGTTTGCATTGATTTTTCTCCGGGTGCTCCGGTTTTTCCCTCCACATTTAGAAACACTGCTATAAATTTCCACACGATAGTCCTCTTCGTTGAGCTATCGTTTGTGGCCAGGTCCCTTCTGAAAAAGAGCAACATGGCTGAGTGGCGCCCCATCTGCTTAAATGTTTTTAAAATGTCCGTTTTATTCGGCAAAAGTTACCGCAGCCGGTGCCGTTCCTCCACGAGTTGGCGAACGAGAAGCCGGCCGCGTTGCAGGCCGCCGCGTATGCCTCCAGCGACCGGCACAGCACCGCCGCATCCAGGCCAGACAGCACCATGTCGAAGACGCAGTCGGCGAAGTACGGCGCGGGGTCGACGGACGTGAAGCACGGGGCCAGCGTGCCGGCCATGCCACGAAGCAGCCCGCAGTTCTGTGGGCCGGACGCGATCGTCATCTTGCCGGCGTCCAGGATAGCACCGGACAAGGCTCCCGTGTCGCTGTTCCCACTGTTTGGGGGGGGGGGGGGGCGGTGGTTGGTAACGTTCATGGTGACGAACAGAACCAGAACATACATAGAGGGACTCCTCTACTTACAAACATTCGACTTACGGCCTTTCAGAGATGGGAACAAGCCTCGCAGCTTAACGTGACTTTACCTAATAGAACCAGAGAGTATGGATCCTTGCAGGCACGAAAGCTTCAAATCTAAATTTCAATGGTACAGTATATTTATTCTAGTAGTGGTATGCCAAACTCCCAGGGTGGTGTATTATCATCTTGTGCTAATTCCAAGCTTTGTCAGTGGTGCGTTTCATGATAATTTCCTTTGTCAGGGCGTTTGTTGTTTGCCCCCTCACAGCTTAAAGGGAGGCGACCAGCGCTTGGCTTTCTTCACTCCAACGCTGTCCGCAGGACAGGTTGGTCCCTTCACCTGATGAAGGCCGCTTGTGTTGTGGCCGAAACGACGTGATTTTTGTTGTTTTAATTTTTTACCTACGTGACTTTACCGAATAGAACCAAAGAGTATGGATCCTTGCAGTCACGAAAGCTTCAAATCTAGAATTGATAGCCTCTACGGGGAGGGTTTTCACCTATCTGTTAGAGCTTTTAACAGACAACGAGACAAGAAGTCACAGCTCATCGAGACGCTGACCTTCCTCAAAAGATGCCGCGATCACAAGGTAATACCCATCGCCTTCACACTCACTTCTGCTGCTGTGTCCTCACCAAATTCTAAACAGATTTTGTTTAAGACTAGCCTTTCTTTAATCTCAGAGAGGATAAGGCTACTCCGTTATGAACTCGATACTTTAGACAGGACTCTCCTACAAGCACATTTAACGTTAACACAAAAAATGTCACCTTCTGATTGGAACCACGTAGAAAACATGACTGCTTCTTCTGCCGATTCACTATCAGTCAAATGCAAAGCTAACCTGATTTCTAAATTTTGATTTAAAGAACCCAGTCCCTCATATAACAAAACTAGACGTCAACAAAATCGTCATTAATCAGAGTAACACCCCAATTTCTGACAATCTGAAAACAGTACTGGCTAGAGCGCTAAATTTTTCTGTCACCCCGAAACATATCCCTGTAGATGATATCATCTCTCAGGTCGATGTAGCCCTCAAAGGCATAGGGCACATCCAAGCAGACGTTGCGCTGAAATAGCCACTATTCTCAAGAATGCTAAGAAATGCATTAGCAACATCAGCAAAAATGAACGCTCTGAACTCGCGAATTAAAAAAAATAGAAATTACTTAGTCATCCTCTCAGCCGACAAAGACAACGCCACTGTAATTATGGATAAAGATTCGTACAACAACAAAATCCAGAACCTACTCAACGATGGAAGTTACTCAAAAATTTAAAATGACCCTACTAATAGCCTAACTATAAAAACCAACAAGATCATCACAAGTTCGACCTCCCTAATCGAACCAACTAAACGTCCCTCCCTAAAACCTTCTGCTGCAAGACCCCCTAGATTTTATGGTCTCCCCAAGATTCATAAAGAAGGCACCCCACTACGACCCATCGTATCCATGATCAACTCCCCTACCTATAAGCTAGCACGTTTTCTGTCAGATACCTTGCTGCCTTTCACTGGTAAGACCTCCTCAGCAGTACTTAACTCTGCCCAATTGGTCTCTATGGTCAAAGACGTTGTACTGTCCCCCGACGATATCCTTGTCAGCTTCGATGTGGTCTCTCTGTTCACCAAGGTCCCAGTACCTGATACCATTGAAATAATTGAAAATTTGGTACAACATGGACTAGACCCCGATACACCTGCGCTGGTTAGACACTGCCTCACCAGTACCTACTTTACTTGGAATGGCACCTTCTACAAACAAAATGAGGGTACCCCCATGGGTTCTCCCTTATCACCAGTGATAGCCAATGTTTTCATGGAGAAATTTGAATCAGACGCCATCCAGACTTCCACCTTCAGACCTTCCCTGTGGAAGAGATATGTAGACGACACTTTCGTCATTTGGCCACATGGCCTCCCAGCTTTGAACCTCTTCCTACACCACATCAATTCCAGACATCCCACCATCAAATTCACCATGGAAGTGGAGAAAGATGGCAAGTTGCCGTTCTTGGATGTTCTGTTTGAGAGGAGACCTGATGGCTCATTGGGACATTCTGTCTACAGGAAATCCACCCACACAGATTCCTACTTGAAACCTGATTCCCATCACCACCCGACTCAAAATAATTCTCTCATCAAAACGTTATACCACAGGGTTCATTGCATTTCGGACCAACACCACCTGGCCAGTGAATTAAAACACGTACATCTGGCCCTCAAGAGAAATGGATACTCTGACCATACCATCCGCCAAGCTGTTTCTCCCTCCATACAGAAACAACCACTTGATACTCCGGTCAAAACCATCACACTACCATATATAGCAGGCGTTACGAAAAAGATCTCCAAAATTCTAAACAAACACAAGATCCTGGTCCGGTTCAATACAGTACACAAAATCCGTGACCTGATCCCATCCGTGAAGGATGTCATTCCTGATTTACAGTACCCCGGGGTTTACAAATTGAGCTGCACTTGTGGTGATTGCTATATCGGGGAGACGAAACGACATGTCTCTGACCGAATTCGCGAGCACTAATCAGATTTGAAACACGGCAGAACGAATTCTTCTGCTGTAGATGATCATTGTTTCAACGCTGTGGGTGATCACGATATAATTTTCTCCGATACCAAGGTCCTTTGCAAACCGACAGGTTATCATCAGAGATTTGTCCACGAGGCAATTCAGATTTACAAACACAGACACAATTTCAACCGAGAAGATGGTTTCAAATTAAGCAACCATTGGAAAGATGTTCTAAATCGAAACAAACATTAAACTAATTTCAATGGTACAGTATATTTATTTCAAATAGTAGCACTCCAAACTTCCAAGGTCGTGATTTTTGTTATTTTATTATTTACCTACGTGACTTTACCTAATAGAACCAATGAGTATGGATCCTTGCAGGCACGAAAGCTTCAAATCTAAATTTCAATGATACAGTATATTTATTCTAGTAGTCGTATTCCAAACTCCCAGGGTGGTGTATTATCATCTTGTGCTAATTCCAAGCTTTGTCAGTGGTGCGTTTCATGCTAATTTCCTTTGTCAGGGCGTTTGCTGTTTGCCCCCTCACAGCTTAAAGGGAGGCGACCAGCGCTTGGCTTTCTTCACTCCAACGCTGTCCGCTGGACAGGTTGGTCCCTTCACCTGATGAAGGCCGCTTGTGTTGTGGCCGAAACGTGATTTTTGTTGTTTTAACTTTTTTACCTACGTGACTTTACCGAATAGAACCAAAGAGTATAGGAACAAGCCTGTCTGTGTGTTCCAGTTGCCTGATCGGACCGAGAGTTGTAAGTTCAACCACCGCGGAATAGATGCCGGTGCTGGAATCTACGTCTGCAGAACGTAAAGAACCAGTGGCATCTATGTCTACAGGAGATTATACCATTTTTTAAGCTATTCCCCGTGTTTAGTGTGCATGCCGTACAACATGTCTGGAATCGACAAGAGTAAAGCTGGACTTACGAACAAATCGACTTACAAACAGACCTCTGGAACCTACCTCATTCGTAAGTCGCGTAGTCCTTGGACAGTATATATAATGGCTACAGGAGCAAGCCCTGCATTTGCTGATTTACACAACTGGTGGTGGAAGTGGCCCCCACGACATAGGAGATTTTAAAGGAATGTATATAGCGCCTTAACCATGGCTCTTTGCCGAGAATTAAGAACAGTATAATCCGTGTGTGTGTGAATGTAATGGTGGAGATGAGATGAATACAATAGATGAAAGATAAGCAGTGGAAGTGAATCCATGATGTGTGAATTCCGTGAAAGAAATTTTATGACAGTAAATGATGATGATGGATTTAATGAATGCGGAATGAGTGATAGCCATGTAATGAGAATATAAAGAGGGAACTAACGGTGGTGGTGGTTATGAGGGGGAGATTAAGGGGGGTTCGTGGGGTGAGCTCGGGAACAATAAGAGTGAATTTTGAGTGAGGAGTGGAAACTAGTGAGTGAAAGTGACTGACTGCCCAATGTGGAGGGGGAAGTGTTCCAGTGAAGGTAGGGAGCGAAAAAAGAGAAAGACAGACAGCGTGGATTGAGCACAAGGAGAAGGAGGAACAGAGAGAGAGAGAGAGACAGCAAAGATTGAGAGCCCCCTCTGGTTTATTATGTAGGCAAACTCCTCGACACTGACCAGAACGTCTTGGAGAAACTAAACTATTTTTTATGTTTCCAGGTAAGGCCCACTGAGCTCTATCGCTTTTATACAGACGCGACCTGACAGCTCAACAAAGTGGCTAATCATGGCGTGGCAATTTATAGCAGGCAAATACTGCAAACGCATGATGTTGATTCTACATGTGGAGGGAAAAACCGGAGGACTCGGAGAAAAATCCACACGACCTCGGGGAGAAGATGCAAACCCACGACCTCCCGCATACCAGGCGAGGTAGTTAACGTCTCGCCACCACGACAAAGAGCACCCACGCTTTGTCCCACTACACCGCAACCCGTCGATCGCCTCATTGAGTTGCATCCATTCGTAACTGCTGGGAGCACAGAGGTGGCTGAACTTAAGAAGTTGTCCCACTTCAACTGCCTAGGCTGATGTAGGCCAATCAGCTTCAAAGACAATGCATATAATATGAGAGCATGTTTTCATAATAAAGGTTTTTGGGTTAGATCGCATTATTTATAAATGTGTCGTAACCCTCCACCACCCGACACGGCCAAACACTAAAAAATGTGTCACGTTTACAAAAGACAAATAGTTCACTACTTTAGCCCACCGGTGTGTTGAAGAGTGAATCAACACCATTTAAAATTTTAGTACGACGTTTCGCTGGTTTGTTTGCATGTTCACCACAAGTTATTGTGATAGCTGCAGACTTGATTCCTTGCAAAGGGTATCTGTTTGGTGTTTGAACATCTTAACACGGTTTTATTGCCAGAAAAAAACTATTCTTATTTTTCATTATTTGATACTGGCAAAAAAGGTCCCATGACACCAGTGACGAGTATTTGAACCATTCCTGGACCTCCCCTAGATGTGCAAACGTCGCCACGAGGGAGACAAAGGCGGCCAGGCCATGGCAGTGGCCACTTACTCCCTCGGGTGCCATGCCGACCTTCATAGGTGCTACTCGCTAACAGCACTTGCCCCAACAGCCCGTTAATGATAAGCAGCCCCTTACGACCATGCAGCCCGTTACGGCCACGTGGCCCGTTCATGCTATCCAGCCTGTTAAGGGGACCACTGTCTTTGTGAGTCTCCACATGGCACCTCTCCGTATTCTTCTTCTCGGGAACCTCCCAGCTGTTGCCGAACGTGGCCGCGTTGGGAGCCTGGGAGTGATCGGGCATCGTGAAGTCGTCGCTCTGGTCACCGTTCCACAACCCGCACACGCCACACGTGCCGTTCCGGTACACGTCGCGGTTCAGCAGAGACACCACCACCCTGTCCCGGCCTGTGGTGGGGGGTGAGGCATGGGGGACATACAGCTTACAATCACAGCCCTGCCGCATCTGTACGGAAAATTATGGATTCGTTTCAGGTTTAAGATTCTCAAGGGCAACTTTAGATTTGCATTACTGATTAAAAATGTATTTGCGCAACAAAAACAGCGTCGCCGTCCAACGTGAAGTGACATCATATTTCATGGGGAAATTTTGGAAATTGTCGTTTTTTCTGGTCAATACGAGCCAAAACATTTTTTCCAGATCATCGAAATTATAATAGCTGGACTTGGGTTTTGTATTTTGGAAATAAATCTGAAAATCAGAAACTTCACCATAATATAAAGGCGAATCTAAAGCTACCGAATTTCTGGGAGTCAACCACGTTACATCTTTCCATGTTTACCATTTTTACTCCCCCACACCAAATACAAAAGAACTCGTTCCACACTGCCCTGCGCCGGATAATTGTTAAACTCACCGGTGGGCTAGCCCAGCACAGGGAGTCCTCACTTAATGTCTTTTAGCCGCGTTCCTGAAAAATGTGACTTTATGCGAAGCGACGTTAAGTTAACCTATTTTACCCATAAGAAATCATGTAAAGTCGCAGGTTACGTTCCAGTGGGCATTTTTTTTTTACCAGACAAAAAAAAACCCATTACGAGTTGAAAAAATACAGGAACATAATATAAAAGAAATACAAATACATTGCAATAAATATAAATACTCATGAAAGAATATAAATTTTAAGAAGATAACATTTCCTATCAGATCCACCAATATCACTTGCTGGCCATTTTTCACGCACGGTTCAGAATAATTGCACCACAAAAGCACGACACTTGGTTCACGTTGTCGAAATTTTGGTTTCCCACGTGGAACAACTCTGGCGCAATGGAACGAAGACTGAGCTGGGACGCAAGCGATGCTGGGACGGCGCCACTTTGCCCCGCCACGCGCGACTCCTCTACCCCACAAAGTAGTTCCCGTACGCTGGCAGCGCCGACATAAACGGGAACCTCGCGACGTCAGGAGGGGAGTACCGGGGGTTCGCACTCGTACAACATCACAACGCATTGCCGGAACCCCACCGTGGGTCATGAATTGCATCGTCATAGATCGGATCCCGGTTTGCTCACTGAAAGTAGAAACCGTCGAAAAGTCACTTGCCGATGTGTTTTTCGTTTTGCCAGCCGTATGTCACGCGGTTTAATTAGTCAAAATCCGTGGGAATAACAAAAGCTCCACGCCAAGTCATACCAGGTTAAAAATCCCTGGAGTAGACAAATGCGGTCCGAACCTCCTCACCATCGTATTCGACACTGAAGAAGGCGTCGGTGGTGAGACGCGCGTAGCCCCCAGAGCTGGTGATGCGGAACCTCTCCCTGGGCTCGTAGTACGGCAGGTTGATGGCTTGCCCGTCGAGCTGCGATGCGCAAAGATAAAGATCGCCTTTATAGCCTGAACAGACTGTCGGGGCATGTAGCAGCACTGACGAAGGCTAGAGCGGCACACGAGGAGGTGGGTGGCCAGCACCATGCCTGCTTGGCTGCCTTTGTCTCCCAAGTGGCGATGTTTACATATCACACCAGATACTCATTTGAGGCTGAGTCGACCTAGGGGAAGCCCAGGACCAGTTCAGATAATCACTGTGAGTGGGACTCGAACTCGGGTCTCTGCTAGGTTTGTATTGCAGCGCTACGCTACCACTCCCCATACAGACAGAACAGATTTTTTCCTTTCATCGTATGGCTGCTGTGGATGCAGAGCAACAACAACAATTTAACATTCAGGTGGCCAAGCCAGATAACCGAGTTAGTAGTGGAGTGTATCACTGTGATGTCTCCGTCGTATTTGTATATCGGTCTTTACGTCTTCATTATACGCTGCACGGTCTGTTCTGAATGACCACAGCCGCACACTACTGGACAGTTTTTTTAAATTTTCCATTCGTGCATCAGGTATCCGCATCTGCTATGATCTGGGCGGATGCGCGTCTGCATATCTCACAGACGCACCGTGATCTCAATTCCCTCTCACTCTGTCGCATTCTCGCACACTCACCCGGACGGCGCCGCTCTTCAGGAAGGAGACGGTGTGGCCGTAGACCTCGGTGTGCACCTCGCGCGTCCACGCCACGTCCGCGCGGCCCCGGTGCTCGTTCCTGGCGAGCACTCGCCAAACTGTCGGCTGCTGCTGCCAGCCCAGGCAGTTGGACGCCAACACGAAGGTGTGGGTGCCCATGTAGTCGAAGAGGCGCCCGTCAAACGAGCTGTAGTGGGGGTCGCCGACAGCGTAGCACTCGGCTGTGGGGGGGGAGGGTGGGGAGCGAAACCCGAGAGAGAGAGAGAGCGTGCGATGTTGAAAAGGTAAAGGAGGCACAGCCCCGATATTTTTTTTGCCCAAACCGCCACTGGCAGAAAGGGGACTTCCACTATGGGGGAGCCCATCCCGAGAGTACTTTGGTCTACTCCTCAATGCTGGCCAGACGTCTTGGAGGAGGTGAAAATTATCCACACTGTACCCTCGCCACACATGGTCTGCTGAGTGACTAACTGTGGTTGGATGAAAACTGCACTGCAAGACGCCTTTGCAGTGGGAAAGGCCAGCCAGAGGTGAGAAAAGGTGGTAAAAGTTGTTCCGCACGTTTCGGACAGGGGCCAAACACAGGAAAATCTATCCTTCGTCGGGAGCAGAGACCCTTTAACTATGGTTTACCCGCTTACTGTATATGAGCACCTCCAATTAGAATGGTTGGCTACGTACGGTGTGAAAGAAGGTTCAACATACATTACATTGTGGGGGGGGTTTCAACTGCCATGCCAGGAGATCGAAGTGAACTGGCGACCTCTTGACTGCGAGTTTACTGGACATCTGTGAAAATTAGCTTCGTAGCTCATATGATTCCTGCAGTCTAAATAAAGATTCTGATTCTGGATATCCGTTGACTTCATGGCTCAGTGGGCAGCGCTGAACGGGCCACTACAACCCCTACTTTAGAAAGCGACCCGTCTTGTCCACTAAACCACCTGTTTCTTTGTTTCATAGTTTTCTATATTTTTTTCCTAGCTTCATGTGCCCGGAAGGGGCCCTAGATTTGTAGATTTCCTTCCTTTATTTAGCCTCCCAGGGCAATTCACAGACCATCGAGGCCTAGGGCCTTTTGTGGGCAGCTCGAGCCTGATCCTGTGACTATGTTAGGGGGACTTCTCCCCCTATCCTCGTGCTTCATGGCGGACAGGTCCCCAGGGGAAATAATCCAAAGCTTCGTCCCCACTGGCCTCCCCGATCAAGGCGAGATCAGAGACTCCGGTGTGGAGGAACGCAGGGAGTTTCTACAAGCCCTCCTGGAAAAGACGGAGGGGAATACAGCCCTTCTCTAGGTTCTCAACGAGAAGATAAGTGAAGTCTGGGAGAGGATGGAGAGGCAGGAGGCCGCCGTGATAAAAAAAAAAAAACACTGGAGGAGCAGAGTGAGATGGGCAGGACCCACGAAGCCACGCTGATGGAAGCTTGAGGATGCTTAACAACAAGGCTGGATGCTAAGTGGCGTGGGTGCCAACTTAAAGCCCACGGCCTCCCCGAGGGAGTCAAGGTGCTCTCGCCTCCATTCAGCAGCACCTGCCCGAAGCTCGAAGAAGTTTGGAATCTCCTGGCGCACAGCCTGTGAAGTCGGAGGGGATAGTACAGGAATACCGGTTGGGAGGGACCTGATGGAGTCGAATAACGTGAGGCCTCGTCCCCTGCTGATCCTGTTTGCGATCTGCCAAGGCACCTCTGAAGCTTTGAAGGCAGCTTGGACGGCAAAAGGCATGGGCATCCTTCTGGAGGGCCAACCGTGTTTTTATCACCCCGGCAGATGCCAAGAAGAGGAATCTTCCCCTGCCCTTGCACAGGGACTTGGTGGGGAGAGCCGGGATACGCTCCCAGCTGCTTTACCCGGCAAAGCTACGAATCCATGTTGCGGAAAGAAGGATGAATTTTCTGATGGTGGATGAAGCAACGGGGATTAAAGAAGTGCAGCAGATTCTGCAAGGTGTGAATGGGATTGGAGGCCGATCCTGAGTTGGAATGTTTAAGACGGGGACCTTTTGGCCTTCGGCTGCGTGGGACAACCCGGAGCTACGACATCGGTGCCCGGGCAGCGTTGTGAAGTCTTCGGATGGTGGCGTGTAACGGGAGGCGGCCATGCGGTCCTCCAGCCTCTCCCGCTCCCCCGCTCACATTCTCGGTCGGGTCTGGCGCTACGGCTTCTTCCCCCTTCGGCTTCTCCCTCTTCTCTCTCTCTAGGCCGTCTCCCCTTCTCTCTCCTGACTGTTAAAATCTGGTTGCAGGTGGTTATTTTGTTGTGTTGAATGGTAAACTAAACTTTCTCTTGTTACGGGTCGCGTTTGGTAATAGGGTCCGGCCTTGAGCGCTGCACGTTGGTGTCATCGGGAGTCCATGGTTGACTACGTTTGGGCTCGGCTTTGAGCCCAGTGGCATCTATTTGTATGTTCCCCTCCTAAGTTTTGTGAAGTGGGGTTTTCTTTCCACATTTTTCTCTAGTGCGTCACAGCTGTTGTGTCCCAATCGGGACAGCTCGGATACTTCCCTTTGGCCCGGCTGTGTTCCCGGCAGTAATTCCTGATGCAATGGACCCGAGTCGCCCCCTCACTTTCAATATCTGCGACACCCCTCCCCCCCCCCCCCCGCAAGGATCATCTCTTTAAATGTCAATGGCCTGAATCACCCACATTAAGAAACAGTCCACCCATCTTAAATGGCGTTTTTTTCAAGAGACAGCCACTTTCTCAAGCAGGGTTAGGGCAGGTATACCATGCCGTATATACTTCGGGTAGCAGGGTTTTGACTATCCCGGTCAATATTTGTTTTTGTATCTATGGTTACCTTTTTGCAAGTATCAAGAATGATGAAAAATAAGAATAGGCCCTTACCCTTTATGGCAATAAAACAGCTGTTAAGATGGTCAAACACAAAATAGCATGTTTGTTTGCATGTTTTTCCACAAGTGTGTGTGGTTAATGCAGACTTGATGCCTTGTAAAAGGTAATTATTTGGTGTTTGAACATTTTTTATTGTATTTCAGTAGGCTGGAAACCAGGATAAATATATTCTCGTGGGTAAAGTGCACGGAATACAACAAAACGTTTCTGAACGTTTATAACCCACCTGCCATCAATTCCAAACTTATTTCGACAACAGTGGCTCTGATCGGAAAAAGAACGGGGGAGATAACCATGGGAGGGGACTGAAACTTGGTCCAGTCAATCATTGTGACGTCACGTTTACTTGTGAAGTGATCCGCGGCAATTTTATTGCAAACGGCGCTGTAGTCAATAAAGTGTCATCGATCAACGATCGATCGACCGATTCACCACCACGCCCTGTGCCGCGCCGCCACTCGAGCGATTGGCGCTGCTCACCGTAGACCTTCTTGCCCAGCGTGAACACCCAGTCTTTGCGGCTGCGCGCGTTGCTCCTGGTGACGACGGAGCCGTTGACGACCATCATGGCGGCGCCCTCGTCCACGGTGACGTAGAGCGGGACGCCGCCGCCGAACACGGACGGCGGCGTGGTGAAGCGGACCGCCGTGCCGTTGGGCAGCAGCGTGACCGTGGTGCCGTCCACGCGGTACACCTCACGGCCGCTGCGCAGCTCCCAGAAGCGGAAGTACCTCGACACGGTGGGCAGGGCGATCTGCAGGGGGGAGGGGGGGGTGGAGTAGGGAGCGCGGCAGAGTGAGCAAGGCGTGTATGTAGGGCGCTCGCTTAACTACCTCGCCTGGTACGCAGGAGGTCATAGGTTCGATCCCGACCCCGACGCCTGCTGTATATTTGGAGTTTGCGTGTTTCTCCCCCGTGGTCGCGTGGATTTTCCTCCGGGTCCTCTGGTTTTTCCCTCAACTTTTGTAACCAACATCACACGTTTAGAGTATTTGGCTGCGATGCATTACCACGTAATAAGCCACTTCGTTGGGATATCATTTGCGGCAAGGAAACTATTTAAAAAAGAGCAAAATAGCTCAGTGAGCCTAACCTGAGAAAATATAAATAGTTTAACTCGAAGTGCCTTAGTCAGGTCCACACCTAGCTGAGAGATTGGTTGCCACAGCCTGGTTGCGTGCATGAAACTGAATCACTTATGTGTGGACGTCTGTGCAAACGTTGACAAGCAGCTGTAGAGACGGACTCGAATTGTAAACATCGATCTGCACTGCGATTTGTAGCGACGTGGTTAATCATCACGTGCTGCACATTGGCCAACAGTGATTGATTGTTACGATCCTGAAAAATACGCTGGTCAATTTTCCTTGTTCCGCAACGATTCGCCCAGATGTAGACAAAGCAGCTGTTGGTGATGAAGCAGAGTTGGGTTATATTAAGTAAAGCGGCTGTGACGCCTTGTGTGACTGTTGCTTTACACATTCAGATTTGAATTTTGTTCGATTAATTTGTGTGATTTCGAAAGTAATTTGATTGCAGAACTGACCCGATATCAAGGACAATTACATTTCAACCATTCTAATGCCCTGCCGCAGTCGAGACAAGGGGACTGCAAGTGTCAGCTGTCTCTATGAAGTATAATGAGAAGGCAGCACTGGTCGGAAAATTAGACACCCATAGACTCATCACACAGAGATCCATAGACTCATCACACAAAACCCCAAAAACATACACAGAGACCCATGAATTAGAAACGGTCCCCTGTTATCTGATGTCTTGCTCCGTGTGCTGGGAGCTTCTTCAGGAACTGAACAGAAACTAAAGAAGCTCTCGGCACATGGCTCGAAACGTCGGAAAAACACGTGGTACAACCTGAGAAATCAGAGAACCGTGTGGCACAACCGCGAAAACCTGTGCAGTTGTAGCCTCGATCAGTGTCCAGGAGAAACGATTTAACGTTCAGCAACGTCGTCGGACCTTTCCTCACCTCATCACTGAAGGTGATCGTCCACTCGATGGGGCAGTCGTTGGTAGTGATGCTGTCGTAGGAGAATGCGATGGGTCCGCCGGTGCCTAGAGTGGAGACGAGAGAAGACACACGACACACTCGGACATGTCTCCTGAGGCAGTGAACTTTTCATTTACACTTTATCAGCCCTGGGCAAGTAAGCAAATTTATTCACGTGCAACTCCTAAAACTTAATGCACAGTATTGGACGGGGCTTTGATATACTGGAAGCATTATTAAACTGTTCTCTCCTGCATTGTCAACTGGACTGGTTAAATGTCTGTGAAGAGTCTCAAACACGATGCAGCGGTTGTGAGTTCTGGGCCCATGGACTGCTGAGTAGGTGAGTGGATGGGTGAGTGGGTGGATGAATAGGTGAGTGGGTGGATGAGTAGGTGAGTAGGTGGGTGAGTAGGTGAGCTAGTGGGTGGGTGACTTCCACGCCGATGGACCACTAAGTAGGTGAGTGGGTGGGTGAGTAGGTGATTGGCTGTGTCGAGTGGTGGTGGCGGATTTAACGACACATTTATATTTACGCTATCGCAAATGCCCAACTACCACATGCCAGTCTTCTATTGTTGGGGGAGGGGTAAGGTAAAATCAGTCTTTCTTACACGTGGCAGTGTCCTCTCACCGTACTATCGGATACATCTGCAGAGAGAGTCATCCACGAGTGGTGATCGTTTTTAAGCCACCACGTCTTAGGAGCCAATACAACAACGACAACAACAATAATCCGACTTCTGCAATAGTTCAGGGTTCGAGAGACCTGGACGACTACTTTTTTTGGCAGCGCATCGTTGACACACGTAGTCACCTGAGGGCAGGAAACCCCCTAAACAACAACAACAATACCAAGCGTGACTCCAATTAAGTCATTGAAGCCCCGTCCATTATCTCCCATCCAGCGGTACACATGAGAACAGAAGTGAGACTTGTTCCCAAACCCCCCTATTTCTATGCTGGAAATGGCTCCACCAATCGGATAGTTAAACAATCTGAAGGGGACAGAGGTGGCAGCTCTTTCCGCTATTTTCTACGTTACCGTCGAGTTCAGAATCGGAATCTATATTTTATCCTGCGGGAATCCGTTGAGCTATGAAGCTCTTCACAGATGTCCAGAAGAAGGCGGGTCAGCGAGTTACAAAAACGACAACAACAACAACACACACTTGGTGGAGTAAAGGAATCGATCGATCATTGGTGGATCAATCGATTGATTAAACAAATTTCAGGGTCCCAGTTGTGATGAGGATGAATGTGCACGTGGGCGTTGAGCGATGCGATTGGGTCACCTTCAACGACGACATTGACGCAGCGCAGCTCCGTCTCCTGGCTGCTCACACACGGCACAAATGGGTGAGTTAATGCGTGCGGGTAAGCTAACGCGTTGCAACGCGGAACGCGCACGCCGTTATAACGCGGTGTATGAGTTGTCGATCACGAACTACTTTCTTGAGCGGCGACGTACACTCAATGATTTGTCCTTCCGTCTCACGGCGTCCGCGCAGTAGTACAGCTTTCGCCGAACGGGTTTTTCGTTTTAACGCAGCACAACTCTTTAGGAACACATGCAGCACGCTAAACGAGGACTTGCTGTACACGGACCAATGGGGAGCCCCACAAGTTGAAGGAATCGTAACCCGAACAGCAAACAGCTCCAATCTTATACTAAACACAGACCTGTTGCGATTTGCATCGAATCTCATCTCGACCATACTAACGACCGGCTGCAATGTAACCCAAGAGGTCCCCCCAAGTGATAGCTGACCCTTTCCGGCGTGAGGTGTACACAGCGCCTCTCTGATCAATGGGACATGAGCCTGCAAGCAGGGGTGTGCTTATTTTGTCCTCCAACCCAAAGATATTTGCGAGCAAGTCATCAACTTGTGGCCGCGAGATCGGCGCACTTGGCCCTCTTTTTGTGTCGCAGAATGCCACGGGACCTGCAACGTCCCACTTGTGATGCAGACAAGTGCACACCATTGGTCGATGCACTTGCAAGTAATTCACTCTCATCTCATTGCTCCTTTCAAACAGTGCCAGTTATGCTACCGGACTCGCTATTGGCATGCAGCGGCTACTCACGCGTTGCTGTCGGACGCGTAGAAGCAGATCTGGTGGCTCTGCACTTCCGCCCGGCCAGGGGTCCAGCTCAGCGCCGTGTGGAAGAGCTTCGGGTCTCCGGCATCAGCCTTGACGGCACCCTTCTGCACCCCGACGGGCGCGATGGTTCCCAGGCGCACGATCGTCATTCTGTACAGAGACACACAGCAGCAGCAGCAGGTCCAGGTCATGAGGTCAAGGTCAAAGGGGTTTCTTTCACGGCTGATGTTTTCTGGAACGATGTTTTCTGGCTCATCACACGTGGGAGAGGATGCTGGCATGCCTCTCGGTGCGCGTAGTTTTATGGCTATAATGCTAAATCTCTTACCTTGAATTTTGCTTCTTTTTTTTATTACAGTTAATTTCTCGTGTTCGTACAGAGACTCCCCTACTTACGAACGAGTTAGGTTCCAGAGGTTTGTTCGTAAGTCGATTTGTTCAAAAGTTCAACTTTGCTTCTGTCGATTCCAAACATGTTCTACGGCATGTACACTAAACACTGGGAATTGAATTAAAAGTTGTATAATCTCCTGTGGATGTAGATGCGACTGGTTCTTCATGTAGATGCCACCACCGCCATCTATTGCGTGGCAGTTCAACTTACGACTCTCGGTCCAAATAGGGAATTGTACATACGGACAGGTTTGTTCGTATCTCTGAAAGTTCGTAAGTCGAATGTTCGTAAGTAGAAGAGTCCTTATATTTCATTGTTTTAGCTGTGATTTAAAATGTTCTCTTCTTGTGGAAAGTTTTTTACAGTTTAAAAATCCTTTAACCTTTCAATATTTTCTTATTTTGCATGTGTAAATGTTTGCCTATTATATAATCTTGATTTGAAGCTTTCGTGACTGCAGGAATCCATACTCTTTGGTTATGGATTCCTGCAGTCACGAAAGCTTCAAATCAAGATTGAATCGTCTTTACAGGGAGGGTTTTCACACAACTGTTAGATCTTTTAACAGACTGCGAGACAAGAAGGCTTACCTTATCGAGTAGCTCACCTTTATATATATAAGGACTTGTTTCAGCAGCCTGTCTCTCTCTCTCTCTCACCTGAAGACGGTTGCTTGTGTGGCGATCGAAACGTCGTGATATATTATTATTATTATTATTATTTTTATGCCTATTACATACTTTTTTTTTATCTATTCTACACCTGCCCTTCTCTGGGAGCGAAGCCCACGAGGGATGGCCAGCTGATCACTCCCTGACCATGTCGATTTTGAGATGTTAACTACCCCACTTGGTACACAGGAGGTCGTGGGTTCGATCCCGACCCCGATGCCTGTAAATTTGGAGTTTGCGTGTTTTCTCCCTGTGGTCGCGTGGATTTTTCTCCGGGTCCTCCAGTTTGTTCCTCCACATTTAGAATCAACGTGCTATTAAAATATTTGGCTGCTATAAATTTCCACATGATAAGCCACTTCGTCGAGCTATCATTTGTGATGGCCAGGTCGCTTCTGGAAAAAGAGCTACACAGCTCAGTGGGCCTTGCCTGGTAAAATAAAAAAAAATAGTTCTGTTTTGTTAATGTGTCACGTGCAAAAACTCCAACGGAGGATGGCCCCTTGCTTGCCGTCACAGGACATTGCAAGGGCCAGGCCTGACAACGGGTCCCTGGTCTAGACGGCTAGTAGAGGTTTTGTCCCGAAACTTGGCTCCTGAATGTTCCAAACAAACAATTGTGAAACGTGCAGGATGCAAGAGGCTTTGGGACTGATCTTCCACGTCACCGGTATGGGACTGACTCGGTGACTGAAGCCCCACTCACCCTGCTGCCGCGTCGCTGGGCAGGGAAATGTCCACCTCCAGCTCAAATAGGACGCCCTGCGTAGCTTGGAACGTTTTTCCGTTCAGGGGCGTCACTCCCGTGAAGAATGGACCCGAGCAAGAACTTCCAGTCTCGACTGCCAGAGAAAAACAACACGACCACAAACCACAGACGTGCGAAGGTTTTCATGGTGCTCCAGTGCTTTGCGGCTCCCTGGCCTGGTTTTTATGGTTGCCCGTGATGCCCGATGGTTTTTCTTCTCCACGTGCTGAAGAAGCTTCCAGCACGTGGAGGAGCAAAACATCGGACATCACGCGAAACGACCTCTGACACCGGAAAATCTTACGAGCTTTTACGAGCTTTTAGAAATGTACACTAATATTAAAGAAGGACACCGGCTCAGACGTCGCCCAGATCAACAAGGTCTGCGACCCCAATCGAGCAGCAGCTACGACGCCACCAGGAAGCAAATGCATCCAAATTCCGAAACAACAACATCACGTGGGAAGCATTAGGATCACACGGAGTAGGGAAAACGACTGACGCAGATTCTGCAGGATATATAGGTGAAAGGTCAAAGTCAGCAGTACAAGTTTGGACAGGAAACAGGAGAATGATTCCCAGCAACAATTGAAATGAGATGGGGAGATCCACTATCACCAAACAACTTCGTCACATGCTTAGAAAGAGTGATGGATGCCGTTCAGGACAAAGGCACAGGGATATATTTGTGCGAGGATAAATAATAAACAACCTGAGATTTGTGGACGACGTAGATCTGATGGAAGAAAGCTTCATAGTACTGCAGGAAAGTGTTTGTCCGCTGAATAAGTCAGGGCTGAGGATTAATGTGGGCAATGGTACTCAGAAGGGAGGACATTTAGAAAAAAGTTATAATAGAAAGCAGCAAGATTGTGAATTTAAAGGAATCTGCATACTTTGGAAGTCTACTAACATAAGATGATGACTGCACGAAATACATCAGAGCGAGGATCGCAAAGGTAAAATGAGTCATGGCAGGATTCAATAACATCTGGAGAAGCAATCAAATCAGCTAGAATACCAAACTGAACATCTTAAGAACATGCGTGTCCAGTGCAGCTTTGTATGCCTGCGAGACTTGGACATTTAAAAAATGACTGACAGACAAGATTTTTTGCACTCGAAATGAATTTCTACAGGAGGATATGGTGTCTAAACTGTACCCAAAGAGTGACGAACGTAGAAGCAAGACAAAGATAGCACATAGAAGAAGACCAGACGATGTTGACGGTGATGAGAAGGAAACTGACATTGTTCGGACACCACATGTTGTGGGATGGACAACACCAAGAAAATTAAAAGTGCGTTGGCTTGGCGACCATATAAACAAATTGGCGCCAGAAAGATGTGGCACCACTTGAGCATATTGGCACAAGACAGAGGATTGATTTGAAGCTTTCGCGACTGCAGGAATCCATACTCTTTGGTTCTTTCGGGAAAGTCACCGCCTTCACCTGAAGACGGTGGCTTGTGTTACGATCGAAGCGTCGTGATCTATTATTTTTTCTACCTTCGTGACTTTTACCGAAAGAACCAAAGAGTATAGACGGAGAATTGTAATGATGATGAGAAACGCATGAACTCTATTGCAATTCATTTTGCTTGCTTTTGCTGGAATTTAGATTGGTTTGGTAAAAATGAAGACGAGCCCCGGTGATACGATTTGTATCTTTTTGTCGTGAAAAGTGACTTGGGTGGTGGAGGGCAAAGCCTAACAAGGCTATCGGTCACTCATTCAGTCACATTCATTGGAGAAGTACATCCCCATCTTCAGAGCTTGCCGTCAGCTTGGGCAGACGTACAGGAATCACCAACTATTGTTTACACAAGTATAAAACAAGTGCTGAAGCACCAACCAAATCAAGGAGCACAACTGAAAAGAAGACTGCACATGGCACGCATCAACTTAGCATCATAACGCGTTTCCAAAACACCCAATAATCTTTTTTATGTACAAGGCACTTAAAAGGCTCAGCATTTTTAACTGCCTTACATCACATATCAGTGTCATATGAAAGCCGAACAATAAGAAACATGAGATGTTTTTTTTTTATGCTAAAAGTAGTGACATTACCCGATGCCACAATTAGTGGAAACGTTTTTTACGTGAAATGTGATGTCATATCTTGTATCCTAAACCACAAAATATCGGATCATTCTAAATTTCACATCTAGCCCCGATTTCAGACTTATTATATATAATATATATTTTTTGACTAATCTGAAAATTATGGAGCACATCACTTATGGGCCGTCCATAAATGACGTCACGCACCCAGGGAGGGGGGGGGGGTCAGACATTTGTGACGATGTGTGACGAGGGGGGTGGGGGGATTTGAGAAATGTGACGTCACATCAAACTGCGCAACTTAAATATAGACAACACGTTCTACTTAATTAAATAGACTCTTTAATAAATGTTTTATCCTACAACATCAGAGTGCAGCGCCACATTAAACGCGCACTACAATGACAATAGTTTAAAGCGATTTGAAGCATGTTTTATTTTCAAAATGGAAATATGGTTTTGGGGGGGGGGGCGCAGAGCGTTGTGACGTCATATTTGAGGGGGGGGGGGTGGTCTGAATTCTTGTGACGCCGTGTGACGAGGGGGGGGGGCGTGGTCAAAAATCGTCGAAAAATCGCGTGACGTCATTTATGGACGGCCCCTTCGTGACGTGACGATGCGCCTGACGGGTGTGCAACCCACTCACTCACTCTCGAAGAGGACTTGCAGCGGGATGCTGGAGAGCGGGCTGCTGGGGGAGTACGAGACGGAGTCCATGGTGATGCTGCTGCGTGGGAAGTCCTCGATCATCAGCGCCAGGGCCCAGAGGCCCGAGGCGTTGGTGGGCACCGTGAACGTGACAGTGCATGCGTCCTGCGCCACAATGCGACGCACATTCGTTCGTTCGCTGACGCGTGCGGTCGGTCAAACTTCTCAGAAAATGGCCAAATGTTGGCGCCAGTTCCGGCTACCTTCCCCACGTGTCCGTCGTGTTCCCACATCTCTGAATCACGCTTATTTGGCGGATTGATTATTGTCTTTTTCCAGGCCAGTGACAGCTGTTCCTTATTCCGAGCAACTCCTCCAACACACCATCGACCCCTCCCCCGCCCTCCCCCACGCCATTCTTTGTTCAAATTTTAACATTCTGCTATTAACCTACAAGGCACTAAATGAACTTGCGCCAAGCCTAGCTCAAATCAACTGCTCTCATGCTACACTTTTACATTTATGTTCCCTGCACTCTGGGATACTCTGCAGTATAGCAAGTCCTCGTTTAACGCGGTAGTAGTAGTAGTAGATGCATTCTTGAAAGGTTCCGTGTTGAGCGAAAAACGCGTTCCGCGAAAGGAATTTCCCGCCCATAAATAATGTCCTGATGAAGTTTGACGAGATGTGATGTAGCACACACACACACCAGTGAGATGGTATCCCGCCACTTTGTTACTGTATCATTCCTTGTACTGCATCACTGTACCGCTCAGCCGTGCAGTTCAAAGTAGTTTGTCGTCTACCGCTCAGAACCCGCGTTATATCGGTGAACGTTCTGCGTTATAACAGTGAACGTTCTGCGTTATAATGGAGAACGTTCTGCGTTATAACGGTGCACGTTCTGTGTTATAACGGTGAACGTTCTGTGTTATAACGGTGAACGTTCTGCGTTATAACGGTGAACGTTATGTGTTATAACGGTGCACGTTCTGCGTTATAACGGCGAACGTTCTGTGTTATAACGGTGAACATTCTGTGTTATAACGGTGAACGTTCTGTTATAACGATGCACGTTCTGCGTTATAACGGTGAACGTTCTGCGTTATAACGGTGAACGTTCTGCGTTATAGCGGTGAACGTTCTGCGTTATAACGGTGCACGTTCTGCGTTATAACGGTGAACGTTCTGCGTTATAACGGTGAACGTTCTGCGTTATAACGGCGAACGTTCTGTGTTATAACGGTGAACATTCTGTGTTATAACGGTGAACGTTCTGTTATAACGATGCACGTTCTGCGTTATAACGGTGAACGTTCTGCGTTATAACGGTGAACGTTCTGCGTTATAACGGTGAACGTTCTGCGTTATAACGGTGAACGTTCTGCGTTATAACGGCGAACGTTCTGTGTTATAACGGTGAACATTCTGTGTTATAACGGTGAACGTTCTGTTATAACGATGCACGTTCTGCGTTATAACGGTGAACGTTCTGCGTTATAACGGTGAACGTTCTGCGTTATAGCGGTGAACGTTCTGCGTTATAACGGTGCACGTTCTGCGTTATAACGGTGAACGTTCTGTGTTATAACGGTGAACGTTCTGCGTTATAACGGTGAACGTTCTGCGTTATAACGGTGAACGTTCTGCGTTATAACGGCGAACGTTCTGTGTTATAACGGTGAACATTCTGTGTTATAACGGTGAACGTTCTGTTATAACGATGCACGTTCTGCGTTATAACGGTGAACGTTCTGCGTTATAACGGTGAACGTTCTGTGTTATAGCGGTGAACGTTCTGCGTTATAACGGTGCACGTTCTGTGTTATAACGGTGAACGTTCTGTGTTATAACAGTGAACGTTCTGCGTTATAACGGTGAACGTTCTGTGTTATAACGGTGAACGTTCTGTGTTATAACGGTGAACGTCCTGTGTTATAACGGTGAACGTTCTGTGTTATAACGGTGAACGTTCTGCGTTATAACGGTGAACGTTCTGCGTTATAACGGTGAACGTTCTGTGTTATAACAGTGAACGTTCTGTGTTATAACGGTGAACGTCCTGTGTTATAACGGTGAACGTTCTGTGTTATAACGGTGAACGTTCTGCGTTATAACGGTGAACGTTCTGCGTTATAACGGTGAACGTTCTGTGTTATAACAGTGAACGTTCTGTGTTATAACGATGCACGTTCTGTGTTATAACGGTGAACGTTCTGTGTTATAACGGTGAACGTTCTGCGTTATAACGGTGCACGTTCTGTGTTATAACGGTGAACGTTCTGCGTTATAATGGTGAACGTTCTGTGTTATAACGGTGAACGTTCTGTGTTATAACGGTGAACGTTCTGTGTTATAACGATGCACGTTCTGCGTTATAACGGTGAACGTTCTGCGTTATAACGGTGAACGTTCTGTGTTATAACGGTGAACGTTCTGTGTTATAACGGTGAACGTTCCGCGTTATAACGGTGAACGTTCTGTGTTATAACGATGCACGTTCTGTGTTATAACGGTGCACGTTCTGTGTTATAACGGTGCACGTTCTGCGTTATAACGGTGAACGTTCTGTGTTATAACGGTGAACATTCTGTGTTATAACGGTGAACGTTCTGTGTTATAACGGTGAACGTTCTGTGTTATAACGGTGAACGTTCTGCGTTATAACGGTGCTCGTTCTGTGTTATAACGGTGAACGTTCTGTGTTATAACGGTGAACGTTCTGTGTTATAACGGTGAACGTTCTGCGTTATAACAGTGAACGTTCTGTGTTATAACGGTGAACGTTCTGCGTTATAACGGTGCACGTTCTGTATTATAACGGTGAACGTTCTTTGTTATAATAGTGCACGTTCTGTGTTATAACGGTGAACGTTCTTTGTTATAATAGTGCACGTTCTGTGTTATAACGGTGAACGTTCTCTGTTATAACGGTGAACGTTCTGTGTTATAACGGTGAACGTTCTGTGTTATAACGGTGAACGTTCTGTGTTATAACGATGCACGTTCTGCGTTATAACGGTGAACGTTCTGCGTTATAACGGTGCACGTTCTGTGTTATAACGGTGAACGTTCTGCGTTATAACGGTGAAGTTATAACGCAGAACGTTCACCGTTATAACGCAGAACGTTCACCGTTATAACACAGAACGTTCTGTGTTATAACGGTGAACGTTCTGCGTTATAACTGTGAACGTTCTGTGTTATAATGGTGAAGGTTCTGTGTTATAACGATGCACGTTCTGTGTTATAATAGTGAACGTTCTGTGTTATAACGGCGAACGTTCTGTGTTATAACGGTGAACGTTCTGCGTTATAACGGTGAACGTTCTGCGTTATAACGGTGAACGTTCTGTGTTATAACGATGCACGTTCTGTGTTATAACGGTGCACGTTCTGTGTTATAACGGTGCACGTTCTGCGTTATAACGGTGAACGTTCTGTGTTATAACGGTGAACATTCTGTGTTATAACGGTGAACGTTCTGCGTTATAACGGTGAACGTTCTGCGTTATAATGGTGAACGTTCTGTGTTATAACGATGCACGTTCTGTGTTATAATAGGGAACGGTCTGTGTTATAACGATGCACGTTCTGTGTTATAATAGTGAACGTTCTGCGTTATAACGGTGAACGTTCTGTGTTATAACGGTGAACGTTCTGTGTTATAACGGCGAACGCTGGGTGATTGTGCATTCTGCTGCTATACATCAAGACTGTGTAAGCATACTCTTTGGTTCCTTCGGTAAAGTCACGTTGGTATAAAGTTAAATAAATTAAATCACGACGTTTCGATTGCACTTCAGCAAAAAAAACATTTCTTGCTGTGGTTTCCCCACCTGATGATGATTGCTTGTGTTGCAATCGAAATGTCGTGATTTAATTTATTTTATTTTATACCTACCCTGCAGTCACGACAACTTCAAATCTAGACTGTGTAATCAATATTACGAGGTTATGTTTTGTAGTCTTTCGTGACTGGTCTGGGACCATCAACTTGCTACACTTGTGAACCTGGATAAAAGTCAACTCCACCTAAATGCGTCTATAGGCCACTGTGTGTCAATGGGTCTCTATGCAGTCTATGAAACCCGTCGATTACCGGTGACCGTACCGAGACCATCAGCTTGCTATACTTGAGATCCCATTTCAATCATGCATGATTGAAACCGGAATTTGAATCCGGGACAGTGCTCTGAACTCTCATCCATCCGGTTACCTGTCACATGTATCGGTTTTCCACTGCACCAGCCAAGCCATGCCACCGATGTCACACCCAATGAATGAGACGAGAAGCACGTACAGTAGATGGCAAGGTGATTCTGTGTGTCGGTGTATTGACATGACGTCACCTGTAACAAATGCGTCTGCAGCCCTGCCCCAGACTGCATTCAGATCGATGCCTTGTGAAACCATTAAATAGCATTTGGGTCGCAGCTTGGCTCAGTAGTAATAAGTGGAAACATCACCTGTACCGTGAGAGTACCCACGCGGGCACGGCTCGGATTGTGCCAGTGGGAAAAGGGGTAATGGATGCGACAGGACGCACCCCGTTCAGAGTTCCGAAGGGCGCGACTCCGCAGATGCTCCCGCACTCGTCAAGGCTGTTCTTGTTGGCGTAGCGACACTTCACCACATCTCTGTCGGTGTCCAGCACAGGGATGCTCCACACCGTGGTGCACCCCACTTTGAGCCTGCGGGACGTTCGTCACGTCCGCCGGTGTTTAATTCTGCGGGGCGCTCGCACGCTTCGGCGGCTCACGTCGCCTCGCGTCAACATCTCGTGTCAACCGTGCCAGTGCCTTGCCCCTGTCTAATCAAGGGAACCGGCACACTGACAGCTGTCTCTGTGGGGCACAAGGTGTACGCAGATGGGCCTGCAAGTGGGCAGTTTGCTGGAAGTTGGGGGAAGTGTTTTCCTGTTCTATGATAGTCACAGGAGACCTCCTGGGGGCGGGGTGGGGTATTGATTTAATTTGTTATTCCAAATTAAGAAACCTTGAGTATTTATTTTTTCTCCAGCTGATCGATTTGGACCGTGACATCAACACACACGGGCTACTATTTTTGAAATGACGCCACGAGATACATAACGTCCACTGTGAAGCAAATGGTGCATCTTGACTTTTGTTAATTAACCAGGTAAGGCCCAGTGTGCTACGTCGTTATTTTTCAGAAGCGACCTTGCTATCGCAAATGAAAGCTCAATGAAGTGGCTTCTGTGGAAATTTATAGAAGCCAAATAGTCTAAACGCGTGATTCTAAATGTGGAGGGGAAAACTTGGAGGACCTGGAGAAAAATCCATGCGACTCCAGGGAGAACGTGCAAAGGCCAAACATTGAGCAGGCGTCAGGTTCGAACCCACGGCCTCCTGTATACCGGGCGAGGTAGTTAACATCTCCTAGCCACCGTGGCGTCCTTCATGATCAATACATGTGCAGCATTAAGCAGCGGTGCCCACCACACTTGAACCACAAACCTCTTTAACAAGCAGGACACATGGGGTTTTTTTAAGATACTTTAAGTTAACATATTAATCTACTGTCATTGCTAATATCTGTTTTTCTTCTTTCTGTGGGGTCACCTCCGATCCTTTGTTTAAAAAAAACTTGACCAAGAACTCCGAATGAAATCGAGATCACAAAACATAATTGCAGTTGATTGCTCAAAGATTATGCCCTGTAATCGTTGTTTTTAAAGTCCTAAATTCATTTCAAAAGAGACATCACGCATCGTGCATTACTGTTAATGGAAGCCAATTTTAACATTTGTTAAAATAAATCAAATAACCAAATGTAACTTTTGGACCACCCTGTATAATAACCCGATGTGTCCTGACTTTTGGGCCACCCTGTATAATAACCCTATGTGTCCTGACTTTTGGGCCACCCTGTATAATAACCCTATGTGGCCTGACTTTTGAACCACCCTATATAATAACCCTATGCGGCCTGACTTTTGAACCACCCTGTATAATAACCCGATGTGTCCTGACGGTTGGGCCACCCTGTATAATAACCCTATGTGTCCTGACTTTTGGGCCACCCTGGATAATAACCCTATGTGTTCTGACGTTTGGACCACCCTGTATAATAACCCGATGTGTCCTGACGTTTGGGCCACCCTGTATAATAACCCTATGTGTCCTGACTTTTGAACCACCCTATATAACAACCCTATGTGGCCTGACTTTTGAACCACCCTATATAATAACCCTATGTGTTCTGACGTTTGGGCCACCCTGTATAATAACCCTATGTGTCCTGACTTTTGGGCCACCCTGTGTAATAACCCTATGTGTCCTGACTTTTGAGCCATCCTGTCTCAACATAAACTTGCCACAAGTCTTCTAATCGCTTGGCCCTGCTACTTACTTGATGAGCGGCTTGGAGGTGGTCATGGGGGAGATGTTGGGGCTGCCGGTGTCGCTCCGGGTGCCCGGGTTGAGCACGGCAATCATGGACCACAACGAGCTGCTTCCAGGGTCGTAGGTGCCCTGAGAAGTGGCGATGGTCACGGGCACCCAGCAACAGCTTGCGAAGCTATGGTCAGACACGTGTGCCACAACAACCAATAGCATCAGCATTGTGGTGTTTGTTATCATTGCCACCTACTTCCTGTCGTACGGTTGCTGATGTAGTAGATGCAGAGCAACAACTACACTTTCACATTAAGATGGGTCAAGCCCGGATAACCGCATCAAGAGCAGCGGAGTAGTGTATCGCTGTGATGTCTCCTTCGTATCTGTGGATCGGAGCATTGCTTTGTCATACGTTGTACGGTCTGTTCTGGATGACCACAGTCGCACGCTGCTACTGGAGTGTTTTTCATTGTCGATACTGTTAATGGAAGCCATTGACAGTGGCTTCCATTAACAGTAACTGCCAAATCGCTCTCCGTGGTGCTAACGGTTAAAAAAAAAACCCGCCACTTTTTTCAAATTTTCTTGCTGTGGTTTTCACACCTGATGATGATTGCTTGTGCTGCAGTCGAAACGTCGTGAGAATTTAATTGTTTTATATTTTTATTATTTTATTGTTTCCCTTCTACGTGACTTTACCGAAAGAACCAAGAATATACCAAGTGTATTAATAACAGGCTTTCCATGGACGTTCAACGTCTACAGTGCCTCGGAGTACGGAGGCTAGGAGTCTCTCAGACATTCACCCTGGTGCAACCGGTGAGAGGCGTGTCTTCACTGCATCAGAGCCCAGGGGGTCTGAGGCTGCAAGCCTCTCCTGAGTCTAGCCCAGGGGTCTGAGGCCAAGAATAATTTCCCGAGTCACAACTCCATTGTGTGGTTGGGGGGCTTTCAGGTGACGTGAGTGGTTCGGATCATGTGATTGTTTTTGCGTTGTGTTTAGTTCTTGTGTTGATTATTAAAGTGTATTTTGTAAGGGTTGGTGGTTCCTCAATGTTGTTGACTGTGCTGTGGGATGGCTGTGCTGGGAGCTCAGGTGGGCTGGACTACTTTACGAGGGGTTTGCAAAAAAACCCCCGTGGGACCCAACCCTCACACAGCCACTCCGCCCGCGCCTCTCTTATCAGGGCACCGCCACGTGTCTGTCAACGTCACGGCCGTTGCTTATCATCGTCGCCATGGACATCGTCATCACCATCATCAGCCATGTGTCTCCCAACGTCACAACCATTGTAATAATCGTCGCCATGCACATCGTCGTCATCATCATCAGCCCCGTGTCTACCAACGTGACGACCATTGTTATCATCGTCACCAATGACATCGTCATCATCATCAGCCACGTGTCTCTCACCTGATGATGCTCTGCTGCGTGGCAGGGACTGTGAAGTTGAAGCTCCCCTTGCCCACCATCCAGTCCGAGTTGCTATTCTGCTCGATACACGCGATGTTCATGGTGCGGCTTTCGCTGCAGCCCTGGGTGCATTGCCACAGGTTGCCCGTGGAGAAGTACACTCCGACCGCGATGTCGTCGTCCGTGCAGGGGGTCATGGACGAGCGGCGCCAAGCCAGCATGTAGCTGAACTTCACCTGCGGAGAGTCAGCGTGTGACGTGTACAGCTATTGCTTTGTGTAGATGTAGGGGTAGCTGAACTTCACCTGCGGAGGGTCAGCGTGTGATGTGTACAGCTATTGCTTTGTGTAGATGTAGGGGTAGCTGAACTTCACCTGCGGAGAGTCAGCGTGTGATGTGTACAGCTATTGCTTTGTGTAGATGTAGGGGTAGTTGAACTTCACCTGCGGAGAGTCAGCGTGTGATGTGTACAGCTATTGCTATGTGTAGATGTAGGCCGAGTCCAGCTTCACGTGTTTCTAGAGCGCCTCCATTCAAGGCGCTGTACACAGTTTAAAAGCGATTACAAGAACCGAGTGATTTAGTTGGCAAGGGGTAGGGCGAGGGCCGAGGAATAATGAGTTAATGAGTGTCCATAACCAGAGAGGCGCGTGGGGGGGAGGTCAGGAAAGAGCTACAGGGGAGGGACGGGAGTGAGTGGAGGGGCTTGGGGAGGGAAGAGAATGGCCGATGGAGAATATGTTCCGAACGGTTTTACAGATAATTAATTTTCAATTTAAAGCTTTCGTGACTGCAATGATTCATCTTCTTTGGTTCTTTCGGTAAAGTCACGTAGAATGAGAATAAAATAATAAATTGATAAAATAAAATAACACAATAATATTCTCACGACGTTTCGGCCACAACACAAGCGGCCTTCATCAGGTGAAGGGACGAGACTGTCTGGTAGGACAGCGCTGGAGTCTCGTCCCTTCACCTGATGAAGGCCGCTTGTGTTGTGGCCGAAACGTCGTGAGAATATTATTGTGTTATTTTATTTTATCAATGTATTATGTTATTCTCATTCTACGTGACTTTACCGAAAGAACCAAAGAAGGAGATAATTATTTATTTGTAAAGCACGTCTGCTAATGAAGCCAAACGCGTGATAGGGCGGGGTTTATATCATCTTGAGGACAGGGGTGTAAAAGGTAAATCGGCATTCGACAAGAACCACTTGAAACAGACGCATATGTAGCGTCGGAAAAACATGGCACACGCTGCCCTATGTATACTTACCTGTAGTTACGGGCACGGGTCTGTAGGGGGTGCCACCCTGAGATAGGGAGAGAGAGAGCCAGACTGTTGAGAGGCCGTGTTCCCCCCCCCCCCCCAAGTGAGGGGTTGGGGGGTTATTCCAGAGCCCCCTGGAAGGTTCCAGAAAGGGGGCGGTACCAGGGGCAAAGAGTCCCCGAGGTGGGTATAAAAGACGGACCTCAGCACGGCTCGAGGAGTGCTCTGAAGACGAAGACAGAAGAGCAGCGAGGCTCGCACCCTGGGACCCCAGGGAACCCGACGTCCTTTTAGGGGCCGGGGCCGAGCGCGGGCCAGTGGCCGAGACCCGCACCTTGGCTGGGTCGGGTCAGCAAAGCCTCCCCTAGGTCAACCTTAGCCGGAGGACTCAGAGCCCGTAGTCCCAGTGATAGGGCACGACAGCCCGGAGGCCATACCTCCCCAGGTAGCGGGGGTAAAGGGCCTTGTGTTACGATATTTAAATAAACCGTGTTGCCTCTAAGCTACGTCTCCGGTCTCCGTGAGAACCCACTACACATTCACCAGTTAAATAGCAGCGACGTATGTAGTTACTCTGCTGTTAGCAGAGTAAGTAATGTTTTCAATGTGTGGTTTAATATCTTAGTTTTTTCGGTAAAGTCACGTTGAAGGGAAACAACAAAATAATAAAATATATATAAAACAAAAAAATTCTCACGACGTTTCGACCATAACTCAAACGGTCATCTTCAGGTGTGTTGGTTTGCATAAAAATAAAATTTAAACGGCGCATTTATTTATTTATAAAAAACGTTAGCGCCACGCACAGCGATTTGGCAGTTTACCCAGGACTAGTCCATCTATATTTGGAAAAGAGGAGGGGGGAGACGAAATTTTTTATAATGTATGCTGTCTGAAAGCCACTGTAAGCGTGAACAATCAATTAAGAACTGAAATGGTTTATCAAATTTTTCCAATGATTGCTAAGATAGAATCCATCTTCTCAGTTGAAATTGTCTCTGTGCTTGTATATGTGGATAGCCTCATGAACGAATCTCTCATAGAAGCCAGATGGCTTACAAAGAACCTCTGTCTTGGAAAAGTCAATGGTATGTGAGCCCACTGAATTAGAACAATGATCTGCTACGGCCGAGGTGTTGGTCCTACCGTGTTTAAGGTGTGCCTTGTGTTCATGAATGCGGTCCGATACATGGCGTTTGGTTTCTCCAATGTAACTACTACCACAGAGGCAACTTAGTTTGTAGACACCAGGGTATTGGTGTGGTTTAATGTTGAGCAGAATTCATATTTTGGACCAGAGGTCTTTACATTCAGTTAGAGATGTACTTGCTACTTCGCATGGCCGATGCAAATGTAGAACGACAACTAATTTTACATCAAGGTGGTTGGGTCAATTAGTGCTACAACACTGCTAGAATTGCATAGAATCTGAACAAACAGGGATATCATTGAAACAAAATGTGCGGGTTCCAGTTGGGGTTGTTGGTCTCAATTAATCGGATTGGGTCATGGGTAGGCTCGTGGGGCAGAAATTCAGGAATCGCACGAAGCGACAGCCAGGAAGCTTCCATACAGCGTTACTCACGAAAAACACTCAACTGAACTATTATTATTTTACCTGGTAAGGCCCACTGAGCTATGTAGCTCTTTTTCAGAAGCGACCTGTCCGCAAATGCTAGCTTATCATCATCACGTGGAAATTTATAGCAGCCAAATACTTTAAACGCGTGTTTCTAAATGTGGAGGGAAAAACCGGAGGACCCAGCAGGCGTCAGGGTCGGCATCGAACCAACGACCTCCTGTATATCAGGTGAGGTAGTTAACATCTCATAGCCACTGTGATGATGATGAGAGAGACAGCAGGTGGGAGAGTTGGGATCGAACTCACGACCTCCTGTATATCAGGTGAGGTAGTTAACATCTCCTAGTCACGATGGCGCCCCAGAGATAATGCCACTTGGTTGATTCGAAGTTAAACCTCTGCTGCCAAACCCGAGCTTACCATGAGTACACTGCCCAGATATGCGAAATCCACGGTCTCTGCAAGTGGCCCATTGCTCGTATTAAATACCCAGGAAGGTGCTTGGATATGTTTTGGTGGGGCCTTAACAGCAATGGTTCTGGCTCAGATTCTTTGATCTCGTAACCATGCGGTCACCTCTACCATTTATGGCTTGCAGATTAGAGGGCGACCGAAACTGAATTTCTGGTTTCGGCCGAAGCCGAAACCGAAAGTTGAACTTCACTTTCGGCCGAAATCGAACCAGAAAGGTACATAACCGAAGTTACCGAACACAAGGTTTATGAAATATTCTAGATTTGAAGCTTTCGTGACTGCAAGGATCCATACTCTTTGGTTCTATTCGGTAAAGTCACGTAGGTAAAAAAATAATAAAACAACAAAAATCACGACGTTTCGGCCACAACACAAGTGGCCTTCATCAGGTGAAGGGACCAGACTGTCTCGAGGACAACGCTGGAGTGAACACAGCCAAGCGGTCTGAGCTTGGCTGTGTTCACTCCAGTGGCGATTTGGCAACTTTCGGCGCCGAAACTGAATTTCGGTCGGCATCTATTGCAGATGTTTGTGTGAGTCTCCGTAGCCATACACTGCACCAAGCACAGACTAAGATATCCCCTGTTGTAGCCCCTTTAGGTTGTTGGGGAAAGGACACAAGGGGGTGGAGTGGCCAGCACCACACCCGGCTTCCTTTGTCTCGCCACAGACAAATACAAAGATGCCCCAGCAAAGCTTTAACAGACTGCAGGGGACAAGTGCTGTTAGCGAGCACCTATGCAGGCTAGAACGGCAAAGGAGGGGGTGGGTGGGTGGCCAGCACCACGCCCAGCCGCCTTTGTCTCCCCCAGTGGCGACGTTTCCCAGACTCCACACCGGGTACTCAGTTAAGGCTAAGTCTACCTAGGGGAGGCCCGGGACCGGTTCAGATAATCGTCACTGGTGTAGGCGGCCGGGAAGGGGAATCAAACTCGGGTCGCCGGGTTCGTAACGCAGCACGTTAACCGCTGCACTATCGCTCCCCTCAGTGACAAACAAAGACAAAAATCCCCCCTATAGCTTTAAAAGACTGTTGGGGCAAGTGCTGTTAGCGAGCAGCACCTATGAAGGCCGGCACGGCACGCGCGGGGGTGGGTAGCCACCACCAATCCCGGCTGCCTTTGTCTCCCGAGTGGCGTTGTTTACACAACGCACCAGGTACTAATTTGAGGCTGAGTCTACCTAGGAGATGCCCAGGACCGGTTGAGATAATCGTCACTGGCGTTGGTGGCCGTGAGTGGGAAACGAACTCAGGTCGCCAGGTTCGTAGTGCAGCGTAGCGCTAACCGCTGCACCACCGCTCCCCAAGACACTCACACACTCACTGACGCACACACAACAACAACCGCCATTCGCCACTAAGTGGCGGTGACGTTAACACGACGCTTGTGCCAGGCCATGTGCACCCTGAGGCAGGAGGTCACGGGGCAGACCCAGGTGACACGGGTCGACTGACAGAGACGACTGGCTGATGCACCACCTGTGCCCCCTACTGTGCCAACCTGCTGTGCTTTAGCCACCCGGCGCTCCACTCGTTGTTGTAAGCGTCGCTCCTCCGCCCTCAGTTGTTGTTGGAGGGCGACTACCTCCAACTGCCCAGTAGCGTCCTTCACGAGCCTCCTCCACAGAGGCCGGCAAAGATGTTCCATTAGGGGGGTCCACGTTTCGCAAGCGTAGAGAATGGAGGGAATGACCGTGGCCGAGAAGACCTGAAGCTTAGTGCGGAGCGACAGACCAGGTAGCTTCCACACAGCGTTACGCAACCGATGAAAAGATATTGCCGCTGGACTGATTCGGAGTGAGACCTCTGCTGTTAAACTGCAGCCGGTCATAAGCACACTGCCCAGGTATGGGGAACTCTCCGCTCTCTCCACAACTGCCCCATCACCGATTGGGAGTTGTGGGGGTGGAGTGTCCGATGGTACAAAATACCCAGGCAGGTGCTTAGTTTTGGTGGGGCTGATGGTAAGGCCCCATCTCTTAGTGGCACGCTCCAGTCTCAGCAGCAGCGTCTCCAACTCCCCCTCTGAATGAGCAGCTATTACCAAATCATCAGCATACATAACGTGGTTGAGCAATAGGGAGCCATCCCTTGACCGCACGCGGGCATCGATCAGCCTCCCATTATATCTGTACCATATGGAGATTCCCCCGGTACAGCTATTGAAGGCTTCACAAACTACGTGGTCGAAATAGATGTTAAATAATGTGGGAGCCACAGGACATCCCTGTCGCACCCAAGGTGTACAGGGAAAGGCTCGGACTCCCGGCCACGTAGTTTTACCCGGGCCCGCTCACCATCATGAAGGTCCTTAATGATCGTGAGCAGAGGGTCAGGTACTCCAAAAGCACGAAGAACAACCCAGAGCCTAGGCCTATTGATGGTATCATAGGCCTTGACCCACAAACACACACACTCACACACTCTCACACACACACTCACACATTCACACACACTCACGCACCTGGTTGCCGTTGTCATGAATCCAGGAGATGGTTCCCCCGCGGAAGTGGGAGCCACTCGTCGTGCCCAGGGCCAGGAAAAGTACGGCCAGAGCTAGACACAGCCTCATGGTGGACTCCTGCAGGGGCGCGGGGTGGACAACCAAGAGAGAAGCAAACTCCAAATAAATCTACAGCAGCAGCAGCAGGCGTCAGGGGTCGCGATCGAACCCACGACCCTCCTGCATACCAGGCGAGGTAGTCAACATCTCCTAGCCACCGTGGCAGCACTAGCCACCGGCACAGGGAACTGCTTTCAACGCTCCATCTCCCCGGTCCCCAAGGTGGATGTCCTCCAGGATGCGTTCCGATCCTCGGCTGCCACTGCATCATTATCCTGGACCGTTGACCATCAACCCCTTCCAGCGACGTGCACTACCCACGCGAAGTAAATTGCGCGTGTGTGTGTGTGTGAGCGTGTGTATGTGTGTATGTGAGCGTGTGTATCGTTGTCTTGTATGTGAGAGTGTGTGTGTGAGCGTATGTATGTGAGTGTGTGTGTGCGTGTGTGTATGTGAGCGTGTGTATGAGTGTGTGTATGTATGTATGTGAGTGTGTATGTGTGCATGTGAGCGTGTGTATGTGAGCGTGTGTATGTGAGCGTGTATGTGCGTGTGTATGTGAGTGTGTGTGTGAGTGTGTGTGTGCGTGTGTGTATGTGAGCGTGTGTATGTGCGTGTATGTGGGGAGCGATAGTGCAGCGGTTAGCGCGCTGCGCTATGAACCTGGCGACCCGGGTTCCCATTCCCGCTCACGGCCAACACCAGTGACGATTATCTGAACCGGTCCCGGGCCTTCCCCTAGGTCGACTCAGCCTCAAATGAGTACGTGGTGCGGTGTGTAAACATTTCCACTAGGGAGACAAAGGCGGTCGGGCGTGGTGCTGGCCACCCACCCCCTCGTGTACCGTTCCGGCCTTCATAGGTGCTCGCTAACAGCACTTGCCCCTACAGTCTGTTAAGGCTATATGGGGGATCTGTGTCTGTGTATGTACAGTGAGGGAAAAAAGTATTTGATCCCCTGCTGATTTTGTACGTTTGCCCACTGACAAAGAAATGATCAGTCTATAATTTTAATGGTAGGTTTATTTGAACAGTGAGAGACAGAATAACAACAAAAATCCAGAAAAACGCATGTCAAAAATGTAATGAGAGAAATAAGTATTTGACCCCCTCTCAATCAGAAAGATTTCTGGCTCCCAGGTGTCTTTTATACAGGTAACGAGCTGAGATTAGGAGCACACTCTTAAAGCGAGTGCTCCTAATCTCAGCTTGTTACCTGTATAAAAGACACCTGTCCACAGAAGCAATCAATCAATCAATCAGATTCCAAACTCTCCACCATGGCCAAGACCAAAGAGCTCTCCAAGGATGTCAGGGACAAGATTGTAGACCTACACAAGGCTGGAATGGGCTACAAGACCATTGCCAAGCAGCTTGGTGAGAAGGTGACAACAGTTGATGCGATAACAACGGAGGGCGGAGGAGCGCCGGGTGGCTAAAGCACAGCAGGTTGGCACAGTAGGGGGCACAGGTGGTGCATCAGCCAGTCATCTCAGTCAGTCGACCCGTGGCACCTGGGTCTGCCCCGTGACCTCCTGCCAGAGGGCGTTCGACACTTCACGTGGCCTCAAGGTGCAGATGGCCTGGCACAAGCGTCGTGGTGACGTCACTGCCACTTAGTGGCGAATGGCCGTTATTGTTGTGTGTATGCGAGTGTGCATATATGTAGAAGATCATTGTTTCTTGCTGTGGTTGTCCCACCTGATGACGGACGCTTGTGTTGCGCCCGAAACGTCGTGATTTAATTTACTTTATTTTATACCTACGTGACTTTACCGATAGAACCAAACAGTATGCATATATGGATGCGGGGGAGTGAGTGGTCGCTATGAACCTGGCTACCCGAGTTTGATTCCCGCTCACGGCCAACACCCAGCGACGATGATCTGAACCGGTACCTGTGCCTCCCCTAGGTCGACTCAGCCTCAAATGAGTAAGTGTTGCGGTGTGTAAACATCGCCACTGGGGAGACAAAGGCGGTCGGGCGTGGTGCTTGCCACCCACCCCCTTGTGTGCCGTGCCGGCCTTCATAGGCGCTGCTCGCTAACAGCACTTGCCCCTACAGTCTGCTAAGGCTACACGGGGGATCTTTGAGTGTGCGCGTGTGCGCGTGTCCCATGTGTGCGTGTCTTTGTGTGCGTGTCTTTGTGTGCGTGCCTTTGTGTGCGTGTCTTTGTGCGTTCGCGCGTGCCCCGTGTGTGTTGACTCATTGCGTGCCCCTTCCGACAAGCAAGCCAGCATCGGGGCTCAAGGCAAGTGAAATTAAAGCTGATTTCTTGTTTTATATTCATGTTACTGTTTAATGTTTTATTTACTCTACAATATTTATTTCATGATTACATGCAAATGTACAATATTTCTTATTATTTATGAGTTTGGCAGTGCTTCCTATTTTCGTTGAACTCTAACACATTATATAATGCCTCACTGCACGTGCATTTAAAGGCAACAGTCCATTGCAGCGTTCCAACTTATGAACCGTGCGACTTACGAACGGGTCTCAAGAACGGAAGCCCGACACAGTGAACTCCCTGTTTTGATGTTGTGTGTTAAAAAATGCGTTTGATTCAATTGCTGTCGAAATCAATTACTTGATAGTGATAGGACCTTTCTTTCTTAATAGGGCGTATTAACACTTTAACGAAAAAAATTGGTATTTTGTGCCTTTTAATTATCTAGCATATTTTACATATATATGTATTTAACAACGTTTTTTTCCCTTCAGAAATTTTGAGATGCAAGATCAGCCTAAAGTGTAGCTACCAGCTCAGTTCCGATGTTCTGTATTTAAACTTTTGACTATAAAAGTTACGTGTATATGAGCTTAAGAGTGGGGTTTTCCTCGCGGCCTAACCCTAAATTAGTCCAAAAATAAGACTTAGGTATCGATTTAAAGCTTTCGTGACTGCAATGATTCATCTTCTTTGGTTCTTTCGGTAAAGTCACGTAGAATGAGAATAAAATAATAAATTGATAAAATAAAATAACACAATAATATTCTCACGACGTTTCGGCCACAACACAAGCGGCCTTCATCAGGTGAAGGGGGCGAGACTGTCTGGTAGAACAGCGCTGGAGTGAGAGAGCCACGTTCAGATCACGGCTTTTAAGCTGTGTGAGAGGAACAAAGAGCCTTGACAAAGGAATTAGCATAAAATTTAGCATTGAAATGGCTGAATGATTAGCTTGTGACTGGTCACAGAAATAGCTATGTTAAAAGTTAAAGCATACACATCCGCAGAGGCACCCATTGTTAAAAGGAATTAGCATAGAATTTAGCATTGAAATAGCTAAGTTAAGGCATACACATCCGCAGAGGCACCCCTTGACAATGGGATTAGCATAGAATTTAGCATTGAAATGGCTGAGTGATTCGCTTGTAACTGCTACAGAAATAGTTACGTTGAAGTCAGAGCATACACATTCACCGAGGCACTTAGTACAAATCAAACAGGAACGGGGCCCGTAGCTATCCGTGGTACGGAAATTTGAGGGTAAGAATCCACCCATTTTTTCGCCATATAGCATTGTGATATATAACGACTTATGGTCGGTAGCTTAGCTGATTGGAGAATATAGAGTTTATTGATAACATGAAGGAAATTTATATTTTAGTTTTTATTGGTTCACTATATAGTACTGTGAATAGCTCAGATGTGTAGTCATTTCTGTGACCAGTCACTAGCAAATCACCCAGTTATTTCAATGCTAAATTCGCCTAGTTATTTCAATGCTAAATTCTCCTGTTTGATTTGTACTAAGTGCCTCGGTGAATGTGTATGCTCTGACTTCAACGTAACTATTTCTGTAGCAGTTACAAGCGAATCACTCAGCCATTTCAATGCTAAATTCTATGCTAATCCCATTGTCAAGGGGTGCCTCTGCGGATGTGTATGCCTTAACTTAGCTATTTCAATGCTAAATTCTATGCTAATTCCTTTTAACAATGGGTGCCTCTGCGGATGTGTATGCTTTAACTTTTAACATAGCTATTTCTGTGACCAGTCACAAGCTAATCATTCAGCCATTTCAATGCTAAATTTTATGCTAATTCCTTTGTCAAGGCTCTTTGTTCCTCTCACACAGCTTAAAAGCCGTGATCTGAACGTGGCTCTCTCACTCCAGCGCTGTCCTACCAGACAGTCTCGCCCCCTTCACCTGATGAAGGCTGCTTGTGTTGTGGCCGAAACGTCGTGAGAATATTATTGTGTTATTTTATTTTATCAATTTATTATTTTATTCTCATTCTACGTGACTTTACCGAAAGAACCAAAGAAGAAGACTTAGGTATTGACCAAAAAATACAGGACCCGATTTATTAAAAACTAAACTTGTATTTTTTACCAGGTAAGGCCCACTGAGCTATAAATAGTTGTTGTTTTCAGAAGCGACCTGGCTATCAAAAATAATAGCTCAACGAAGTGGATTATCACGTGGACATTTCGAACAGCCAAATACTCTAAACTCGTGTTTCTAAATGTGAGCGAACAAAGCAGAGGACGCGGAGAAAATCCACGCGACCACGGGGAGAGAGACACGCAAACTCCAAATATACAGCAGCAGCAGCGGTCAGGGTCGGGATCGAACCCACGACCTCCTGCATACCAGGCGAGTAAGTTATCATCTCCGAGCCACCGTGATGATGATTATGAGAGAGACAGGCAAACTCCAAATATACAGCAGCAGCAGGCGTCAGGGTCGGGATCGAACCCACGACCTCCTGCATACCAGGCGAGGTAGTTAACATCTCATAGCCACTGTGATGATGAGAGAGAGAGAGACACGCAAACTCCAAATATACAGCAGCAGCAGGCGTAAGGGTCGGGATCGAACCCACAACCTCCTGCGTACCAGGCGAGGTAGTTAACATCTCCGAGCCACCGTGATGATGATTATGAGAGAGACTTGCAAACTCCAAATATACAGCAGCAGGCGTCAGGGTCGGGATCGAACCCACGACCTCCTGCATACCAGGCGAGTAAGTTATCATCTCCGAGCCACCGTGATGATGATTATGAGAGAGACACGCAAACTCCAAATATACAGCAGCAGGCGTCAGGGTCGGGATCGAACCCACGACCTCCTGCATACCAGGCGAGGTAGTTAACATCTCCGAGCCACCGTGATGATGATTATGAGAGACACGCAAACTCCAAATATACAGCAGGGGTCAGGGTCGGGATCGAACCCACGACCTCCTGTGTACCAGGCGCGTAAGTTATCATCTCCGAGCCACCGTGATGATGATTATGAGAGACACGCAAACTCCAAATATACAGCAGCAGCAGGCGTCAGG